AATGGATTTGGTTTTAAAGAGTTGGAATAGAACCACATCCACTCCACCTCGGACTTGTGCACAAAGATAACAATTGCCAGGAAGGAGGAACTCCTGGGAGAAAAGTTGACCTTCAAGCTGGGCTGACCAGGGATGAGATATTTCTGTCTAAAGCTCATGCTCCACGGTTTTCTGCTTGGTTATGTACTAGCAGAGTTCTCTAGAGGAACAGAACTTACGGAATGAAGATCCAAGAGTTCAGTAGTTGTGTAGTCCATGAGTCTGGATGTCTCAGCTGATCTTCAGTGTATGCCAGAATCCCGAAGAAGTAGGTTCTAATACCAGTGAAGGAATGGACTTCCCAGTGAAAGCAAGAGCAAGCAGCAAAGACAGCAAGCTTCCTTCTTCTGTGTCCCTAATACAGGCTGCTAGCAAGTTATGGCCCAGACTAAAGGTGGATGTTCCCACATTTTAAAAAATTAATAATAATGATGATGATGATAATCCAGAGTAAAAGTGGGTCTTCCCACTTCAAGTCATTTAATTCAGAAAAAGTTTCTCACAGGTGTGGCCAGTTGCTTGGGTGTTAGTTCATTCTAGATGTAGTCAAGTTGACAACCAAGAATAGCCATCACAGTTATATATAATCAACTTTTTCCCTCTAAAACAGAAATTGGTCCTATATCCTTCACTATCTGTCCTATGACATAAAAGACCAAGACCAAATATTACTAGGAAATTTTGGGGCTCCCTTTCATGGTTTCTTGGCCTCATTAATAAAAGAATTTAGAGGATGACTTAGAAGGAGGCTTTCAGAACAATTTCATTCGAGGGAAAAAACAGCAGGGTGTCAGGTGCAAAAGAAACTCAGGAAAAATGACTGACTGTGGTGTGTATTGGCGTACTGAAGGGTCCATAGGCCTTCAGGCTCACTCAGGACCTGTGGCTTCTCTCAGCTCTTCTCACAGACCCCTCTACTCTAAATGCGTTCAGCTCATGGGCTTCCCTTTGCCCGGCTTCTCATTCCTATATCACCCTGCCATTTGGTCCTCCTCTCTTGTCCCCTCTCTCTTGATCCTCCTCTCTTTATTACGCCCCCCCCACACAATGGCCCAATTTATGCTCCTGGTCATATTTGGTGTACTACTTTCTCTCCCTGCTCTGGATTCTCCCAGAAGCCTCTGGCTGTCGTCTCCCTCATCTCTCCAATAAAAACCTCCCCTCAAACCGTGCCGTGGAGTACTCATGTCCTCAGTTTGTACACCCGGCTCCTTCTGAGGGGAAGGGTGTGGAGACGAAGAAGAGAGAAAGCTTTTGGAGTCAGGGTCTGGGAGAGCTTCCATACTGAGCAATGGAGTTCAGCAAGCACTTACGGTGAAAGCCGGTGGGGCTTTCAAGAAAGAGGGAGAGTCGGGAAAACTGACTTAGGCTTTGGACCAGTATCAGAAAGAAAAAGATAGGAAAGATAAAGAAACGCTTGAAAGAAGAGTGGGCATGCTGAATGCCAGAGGCCTGACAGTGGCTTCATAGATTATGGGCTTCTTGGAAGGATGTGTACATTATCTCTTTAACAGACAATTATTTTCCATCTCTTCAGAACATCCTTAGGTGAATGAACTGCCGTCCTCAGGAGTGGTCTCCTGGCCAGGTGACTAACAGGCCCAGCTTTGCAGTAGATCAAAATGTCTATCTCCACCCAGGATCAGAGATAGCTTCCATTCCTTTGACCAGGAAACCTAAGGAGGTGCAGTTAGAAAGCTTCCCTTTCTAGGGTTAGGAGGGAAACAGGAGGGTTGATCCTCAATGCTGCCAATGCCACCAATCTCTGTCTAGATAAGTAACACAATCCCCAAACCCCTAAGGAATCTGGGTTTTCCAGTCTGACAAATTCCCTATGACAAACAATGGCTGTCCACATGGGTCAGGCTGATCTGTTCTTAGTCAGCCATCAATGTCTGCTTGATTCTCACATCCCTTTCTGAAGAGACCCAATGTTCCTCCCTGCCGAAAGCAAGCACCTCCCACATGTACTCATATCCTCTCCAGCCCTAGCCCCGTGGTTGCCCCCTGTCTGGCCCCATGTGCCTAGGCACAGCAGTGTCTTAGGGTGTTATCTGATACACAACACAATGATTACAGCAAGTGTTTGTGTAACAACTCAATATGGGCCTGGTTTTACCCTGTCATACCATTTTGAGTTTTTTCATGTTTTTTCCATTTGGTAACAAAACAGGGACTAGCAAGAGAGAGTATTTTCTTTTCTTCACTTGTACCATTCAAAGCATATACCAAGAAATCAATGAATACTTATTTGAGTTAAAATTACTATCTCTTTCGTTGTTCTGTCAAGGTTTTTTATTTTGTTTCTGTTTCTTCTGATAAGAGGCTGGCTGATTTAGAATATCTAGAAGAGAGGAGCTTTCCAAGCTCCAAAGGCTTTCCGTCTGGTGCTCAGTGCACGTGGTGGTAGTGTTGTGGTACCCCACCCTAGCAGAAGGTCAGCTCAGCTAAAATGCTCTCAAAAACTAGAATTTGTTCTAGCTGGGTGGATACCACTGATTAATTAGAAGATAACATGAATTTTTGTTGTTGTTTTATATGTGATATCTGATGAACATAGAAAACTGCACATGCATAAGCCAAACCATGGAGGAAAACACAAATTTACATAAACATGCATACATATACAATATACACATGTATTTATATAATGCACTACACATTTCATGTACATATATACATATATACACACATAAATCAAATACATAAAAACAAAGGCATACCTATATATACATAAATACATATGTATACACACATTTTCATAGTCATAGACACGTGGGTACACATGCATATATATAATGCATACATATATATACCTACACATAGACATACATATGCTCAGACACACATGTAGTTGTTGTTTTCTTAGTCTTTTGGCTCTTCTTATATGGGGGGACTGCCACCAGCTCCCAAATAAATACACGGAGTCTTATTCTTACTTCGCTTGGCTTGCTTCTATCCAGCTTCTCTTAAATTATCTCATCTATCTTTTGCATCTGGGCTTCAATTTTTCTCTATTCTATATACCTTTCTTTGCTTCTTATCCCATGGCTTGTTGTATAACTGGGTGGCTGGCCCCTGGAGTCCTCATCTCCTTCTCTTGCTCTCCCTCCCCCTCTTCTTCTCTTTCTATTTGTTCCCACTCCATACCAGCCCCCCCTATCCTTTCTCCTGTTGGGCATTCCACTCTTCATTAGACCAGTCAGGTGTTTTAGACGGGCAAAGTAACACAGCTTCACAGAGTTAAACAAATGCAACATAAAACAATACAACACATCTTTGCATCATTAAACAAATGTTCCATAGTATAAACAAACAAATGTAACACATCTTCAACTAATATTCCCACAACACACGCATGCATGTATATACTATATACATACATACATACAAATACACATGTATACATAGGTGCACACATATACATAGGTACATATATTCATACATATGCATAAAGACACAAAAATCACAAATGTACATACAGGTATATACCATACATACATACATACATACATACATACATACATACATACACAGAGGCACTCACATACATATGAACATATGTGTGTACATATATATGTATACACACACACACACACACACACACGCACTCATTGCTGGTGATGCAGGTTCCTGTCAATGTCAGGGACCTCCCTTCACAGTAATGGCAATCTTTAGCAGTCACTCCCCAAAGCAAACTCCAGATCCATTACAAAAGAATAAGTTTACCAAATTAAAGTCATTTAAATAAATTTGGTCCTAAATTACATAAATATCTGGATTTCTATATTGAAAGAAACCAAAATTGTTTCCATGGCAACAGGAGTCAGAACTCAGGAAAGGTAAACCAATACATTGACATCTATGGAAGCTTATAAATATATAGACCTTAAATTCATACCTCACTGAAGACCTTCTTAAAATACTTTTTATTTTTAAGTGAGAGTTGGTTCTCTCCTTCCCCCCATGTAGGTTTTGGAAATAAAACCCAGGTGGTCAGGCTTAGTAACAAGTGCCCTTATCCATTGAGCTTTTTCTCCAACCCCCTTCAAAGAATGTTTTAATGATAACAGTAGGGGATGGTTGTAAGTGAACCAATGCAATGTGGAAACAAATATTTTTATTAACAGGAGAAAGCGCTTACACACAAGATGGGAGATCAGAAGCATGGCAGACTTCCAAGAGAACTCGGTTTTCCTTTTCCTTTCCTTAAATATCTCACCTGTTCTACATATCCTTGTCCACACCCCTTTTGGGCATGGACAGTATTTTGGGCTCACCCCTACAGATGGTTTATAATTTTATAATACCCTTTGGTTTGAAACAATTTTTTTCTAAACCAAAACTAAAAGTTTTGGCTATAGACCTGCAGAGATAGTTACTGTTGGGTGCAAAGAAATTCCCAAAATAACAGTGCTGATGACAATATCCTAAACTTCCCTTAAACCACCAGGAATCTCCCTCAATCTGTCAGCTTCCTTGGGCAACGGCATCTAGTTCCCAGCGAATCCCACAAGCTTGTATCAGCTCAAGGACCCTGCTGACTGCCATGTAAAGTCTACTTGATTTCCCACCATCTTGTTTCTCTCTGTGACCTCCAAGAGACGGTCTTTTCAGTTTAACCCCAAATAACCTTTCTTTCTAACCAAGAAGAGGTCTAGTTTAGTGGGTTCACTTTGCCCTCACTTATACTTACTAAGTATTTTGTTTTACGTAAAACATGTCAGCCAAATGGTCCACACTAAGTCTATCTCTAGCCCTAATGATGGCATGAGTCTGGAGGCCAGTTCAAGGGGATACCATTTACCAAACCATTACAGGCTTGACTTCAAGTGCACCTGGCAAGTCAACCTTTCCAGACTTAGCCCATGAGCTGAGATGATAACACTTCCGATATCCAAGAATGCAGTGTTGTCATCAGGAAAGCCCATCGTGAGTGACAACACACACAGAAAGTGGGGGAAAGTAAATGTATCGTATTTTTATTTCTAAAATAATACCCCAAATTTTCTGTATTTACAGTTCTTTACAAAGGAACAGTCATAAACACATACACATATAAATAGTAAGACCTGTAAGAACATTGTGTCTGTTCTACAAATGAAGACGCTAAGATCCTACAGGTCAGGTTGTTTTACTCAAGGATTAAAACAATAAGCACACAGAACGCCCACCCAATGTTCCTTTCCTATTTAGGGGAGACTAACCATGGACAAACTACAAAGTAGATACAGTATCTTTCATATTAGACCTCCAACCCTACCACCGACACTGAATCTGACCTGAGTCCTCCAGACACCCAGGATCACCTCAGTGGGTGGATGTCTGGGTCCGGAGCCACAAGGCATCCTGAGGAGTGAAAGCTGACAACTCCAGAGACTGCCTGCCAGCCATGGGCTCGCCAAGGAGACTGTGCAATGCCTTGCAGATGAATTGTGAATCTTGATGAGGTGAACAAAAAGTCAGTCATTGTCAAATCCGTGTTAGCAGGTCGGTCTTTTTAAAAGCCCACTCATTCACTGTGAGCCTCGGCTAGTTTTCCAACTGAGGCCAACTGAGACAGTGCTCCTGGCTGGGAGAGGATGTCACTTCACTCCAGATATGTCTGTTCCTCCTTCTCTTGGAACATCTCTCCATCCCAGCAAGCTAGACTTCTCTGGGAAATAGGCAATCTGGACAATGAGATCAGAACACTTGTTACTAGAAAGAATAATAGCTGGCATTTCTTGAAAATTTAACTAGAGCCAGGCAATATTCTAGGGCAGAGGCTCTCAACCTATTGATTGTGACCCCTCTGGGGTCAACATATCACATATTTATGTTACAATTCATAACAGTAGCAGAATCACAGTTACAAAGTAGCAATGAAATAATGTTTATGGTTGGGAGTCACCACACCATGAAGAACTGTGTTAAAGGGTCCCAGCATTAGGAAGATTGAGAACCACTGTTCTAGAATTCCTTTGTTTATCCTGAAACCATCCTGGGAGGAATGTGCTATTCTAACCTGGTTTACAGAGGAGGAAATGAGGTGGAATTGACTGTATATCACACAGCAACAAGGCTGCTCCCTACCTGTGTAGTCCTGATTCCTGGGTCCTAAAATGAACTAAGAACCCCCTTTGCTTTTCCGGGTCTCCAACTAGTCTTCAGAGTAACTCCAGTGCTCTGAATTTACATTTATGTTGTTTTCTCTGCATAACAGCTCTGGCTGCCCTGGAACTAGCTCTGTAGACCAGGCTAGCCTCAAACTCACAAAGATCCGTCTGCCTCTGCCTCCCAAGTGCTAGGACTAAAGGCGTGTGCCACCACCACCCTGGCAACCCTGTCTCCTTTTAAGTGCACTTGAGGCTTAAACAAACACACTCTAGAGGAAATCTCAGGTAGGTCAAACGACTACTGAGTCACAAGGCCTGCTTCAGGTGTGAACAGCGGAGCCCACAGTGCAGCTGTGGCCTCCTTGGGAATGAGGTTCTCCGGTCAGTCCTCCCTGACAAGAGCTGCCAATCAGAACCCCACCTGAAACAAAGTACCATCGGTCCAGGTCTCTGCAGTTCTTCCTCACCACAGGCCTTAAGACAGAGCTACCACAGTTCCATATCTAAACCCAGTCTTGACCTGAAATGACTGGGTGAAATAAAAGGAGCTTCCATGACATGGGATCTCTGTCTCATCCCAAATCCAGTCCTAATCACTGGCCCCTGGAACTCGACTTACTGTTTAGTCTGTGACCCAGCAAGTGGTTTCAGAGCAGCGATCCTGCCTTTTCTGCCTGGTTTTACCATGACTGGTCTGCACCTCTACCTTGCACATACCAAACAACACCAGGGTATTTCTGTGGTTGGAACCCCTCTCTTTTTGAAGACACCCCCACCTCTGGTGCCACCAGATGTCCATTCTGAACATCAAATTTTTCCCTATGTGACTTCCATAACCCTCTAGACTAATGCTTATTTGACCCCCAACCTTTTCTGCCACGGTGCCAACTGTTATTCCAGAACCCTCTCAATACTGTGTATGTGTAGGTGTAATTCACAGGCCCAATTACTGAGAAAATTCAATAAGGACAGAGACACCTGCCGAGCATACGCCAAAAAAGATGCAAAGCTCAGTTCATCATCTACCTCATAAGTTCAAAAATAGAACTGAAAATCAAGTAACAATATAGAGTGGGCTTTGCTGATAGGTGCCCTCCCAACTTCCCAGCCTTCCTCCAGTCCAGATCTAAGTCCTCCTGAACACTAATAGGGTCTGTTCCTTGTCTTTTAGTCAGCCCCCTTCCCACAACTAACCAAGTGTGCCCAACCAACTGGAGAAAGGGCCTCGCCTATGGTCCTCCTCTCCAGAACGGATGGCTTAAGTATCCCCAGAAGGCAGTGACATGAGCTAAGGCTGTCACTGGTAACTGAGACCTTGCTAGAAAGGCCAGCTCTGATTTTCTATTAGGATAAATTAATTATGCATAACGGGGTTCGAAATGTCATTTTGTACATGCATATATTTTGGTTATATTCACCATTGTTTGTCCCTCTCCTACATCTTCTTTTGTTCTCTGTGGGTTTTTTATTGGCTTTTAGCTTTGCTTTTATGTGTTGTTTTGAGACACAGTCTCACTATGTAGTGTTAGCTGGCCTGGAACTCACTATGTAGACCAGGCTGGCCTTGAACTCACGGAGATGTGACTGCCTCTGCCTCCTGAATGCTGGGACTATAGGCATGCGCCACCACACCTGACACACCACTCCCACTTATGCTGATCTTCCCAAACAATGCTCCTTTTTCACCAGCTCTCCTTTTCATGGTTCATCTGAATCAGTGACAAGCCACAAACTGTTCTACTGTGGGTGAATCCCACAGCTGGGGAATGACCAGGGCCAGTAAAAGTCGGCTTTTTAAACACTTTAATATTAAATACAAATGTGAGGGTCTTCACTTAAGGACTGTGTGCCTGTGGTGATTTGAATAAAAAATGACCCCCACTGGCCCATAGGAAGTGGCACTATCTGGAGGTTGGAGTAGATGTGGCTTTGTTGGAGAAGTGTCACTAGAGGGTGGGCTTTGAGGTCTCTGATGCTTAAGCCATGCCCAGGGTGGCAGTCACTTCCTGCTGCCTGTAGATCCTTCTCCAACGCCACCGTGTCTGCCTGCATGCTGCTGTGCTGATATGGACTAAGCTTCTTAACTGTAAGCCAGACTCCTTTATAAGAGTTGCTGTGGTCATGATGTTTCTTCACAGCAATAAAACCCTAAGACAATGCTGGTCAGTTTTACCTAGGCGTGCCAAGTCTCCACCCAACCTAGAATCGATCTCCTGGGAAGAGAGTCTTAGTGAGGTGTTATCTAGATCAGGTTGCCTGTCTTGACTGTTGATTGATGATTGACTGTTGATTGTGGACTGCCCCATTCCGTAGGCACGTGATCCTGAACATCGTAAGGGGGAGAAAGCTAGCTGAGAGCAGGCAAGCAAGCATCCATGTGCTTCTGTCTCTTTGCTCTTGACTGTGGATATGAGACTTTAAGCTCCTGCCGTGCCTTCCTCAAGATAATGAACTGTAACCTAAGTCTGTAATCCAATCACCTGCTTCTCCCCTAGGTTGTGTTCTTACTGGTGTATTTTATCACAGCAACAGAAGTGAAACTGGACCAGATTACATGACAGCATCGTCCTTCTTTTGCTTTCCCAGGACCCTGCACCTGTTAGTCTGCATAGATGAATTTTTCCCTTCTTTTCTCTCCCTCTCCCTTTTCCTGGGACCCTGTACCAGAGTCCCACAACAACACATCAAGTTTGTGGGATTTGTTATGCATGAAACTTTACAAGATTTCTTCGAACTCACAGTGTCTTTGCTTCCTCCACTAAATTGCTTCAAAACCCTGCCTGAGACCTACCTCAAAAAGAAAATAAAATGTAAAAGCGGTCATGGTCACCACGAGGTGATGGAATAAAGTGTCACATTCAGCCATGTGCATGAGAAAGGGCCATGGAAACAAGATCTGATGCCACTGTGTCTATCATGCACCTGCTATTTCGAGGGGCACAGTGTCTGACAGCTGTCTTATGACTTAATCACATCTTTATGACTGCCTAACAATTGCTTCCCCACAATTTCACCTGTGTAGAACTAAGTCTCTAGGGTCAAGTGTGAATAAGCAGGTAGTTGCCGCATGTCTGCCCATACCTGCTTCACTGGGGAGGGGCAAGCCTGCCTGTTGTTTTGCGACTTTAATCACTCAATGCTTTTGTCTAGGCAATGGAGTTACTGTAAGTGCCAAAATTAATTCACAAGAAGGAACTAAGTCCTTCTTTAACAATGAGCAGCAGTGAGCTCAGAGACTCACAACTCCCAAGATGCAGAAAAAAAGCAACAGTAGTGGGCTTAACTCTCAACAAGACATAGACACCACCATCTCTAAGGCTTGGAGTACACTGTGGAAGATGAAGTAGAGGTCGTTAAGATGTCATTTTCTGCAGTCTAGATGTCTCTACAGTCTATTACAATCATGAGTTCATAATGGCTGTAGATACCTACCCTTGGATAGGCCCTATCCACAATCAGTAGCCCTTTGCCTCTGAACTATTGGCTATCAATAGATTCTGGAAGAGAGGGAATTGCTGTCTTCAGGGTGCCCACTGCCTAGCCCATCAGGTTCCAAAGATTGCCCTAGTTGAATTTAGTGGGTCAGAGGACAAAACAAATAGACATGAACATGAGAGAGTAATTTGTGGGCACAAAGGAAGGTGGGCAGGGGGTAGGAAAGTAGGAAGTGACAGTGGTCAGTATTCATTGCTTACGCACATATAAAACTGTCAAAGAACAGATTTAACTAGTAAAGAAAATAAAAACTTTAAAAAGAAACTAAGATGTGTACGCTTGACAGCCGGCTCAGTGTACCATATTATTAGCACAAGTGAGGTCACAGCACCTGTTCACCAAGGCCATAACATGGAGGTCTGGTCATAGAAACTCAGCAGACACTTTCCTTATCTTCACTTTTGTACTGAGCTACAAAGAAGTGTCCCTCCTTTAATAGTCCTGCTATCCTATTGCCTCTCATCTCAACCAGCATGCTCACAAGTGGCTCAGTGACACTTGCGTAAAGTTTCTACTTGTGCTTTCAATACTTACATTTTAGTCTCAGCGATTCAGTACTTTGGATCCGTTGGCTGGACTTAAGGATGCCTTCTAAATGGGGTGAAAATAATGGAGCTGTCAATGAGCAATGATATTGGCAAAAAATTATGCATATTTATAGATTAGTGTACAATCTGCCTCAAGATAACAGTGTGAAAATGGAGCTATAAAGAGAAACATCTGAGTTGATATACCCACAAAGAATAGAATTACTATATTTCAACAAATGTAACATTATGAGTGATCTCATTGTCTTTGTTTTGCTTTTTCAAATAAAGACACAAAACCAGTCAGTTAAGACACAATATATTAATTGGTTAGATGGTACATTTTAACTTAAGAAATGATAAATGATAAAGAAAATTCCTTTCTTAAAATTGATAAACTGTGATATTAAAAGCCATGCTTGGAAGTAGCCACAGATGGTGCTCTCAGTACATCCTGAAAGTTTGTTTCCAAAGCTCTGAGGAAGAATATACTTGTTGAGCAAATACATTTTAGCAGATTCAGAACTTTTGACACTCGGTGCCTTCAAAGACAAGTTGCCAACTCCAAAGTCTTCCTTACAGTCACTATGCACAAAATTACTCCAGTCCACACAAGTGTGGTCTGCTGGAAAGAATCCCAAACGTGGAGAGCAGGCAGTCTTGACATTTCCTCCTGGCTATGATTCAAATTTAACGAGATGGGTAACCTTGCACATATCCCATTACCTCTCAGCTAAGCTCCTCACCAGTAAAATGAGTGGGTTAAACTAAATAATCTTTTCAAATCCCCACTCTTTATAAACCTCTGGTCCTGGGTTCATCTCAATAGCCCCATGTCAAGCTAAAATGTACACACATGCAAATTTCCCTCAAATGTATCTTCTGCTACCTTTCCATTTCAGCTGATTCTCCATATTTATAAACCAATGGGAAAAAAAGAATGATTTATTATGCCAACAAATTCTTAGTCCCGGACTATGGCACCCATCTCTGCATGAGGACACTGACCCTCTCCAGTGTGTCACTGGAAGAAGGGACCTTACCTCTGCTGCCCTCGATTTCCCCTTCAGTGAAGATACCCTCATCCTCAGAGCATCCCTTATCTGAAAGGCAATGGCAGTCAGTGGTCAACAAATGTCAGGGGAAGCAGCGGCATTCCCAAGACCAGACATGTGTCCTAGAGCTGTGAGTCTGGCCAGAGCAGTGTTGTGTGGTTCATCATCACACCCAACAAACAATGGGGCCTGAATAAAAGTTGAAGAGTGATAGGCCGGGCAGTGGTGGCGCACGCCTTTAATCCCAGCACTCGGGAGGCAAAGGCAGGCGGATCTCTGTGAGTTCGAGGCCAGGCTGGACCAACAGCCTCCAAAACAAAACAGAGAAACCATGTCTCGTTAAAAACAAAACAAAAAGTTGAAGAGTGACAATAACAATCCACAGGGCTATTTTCAAATTACAGCCATAGTTTCTTTTTCTGTTTCCCAACAATACCATCCTGCAATCCTGCTTGTCTTGACAGTATGCAAGCAAAGAGAGTATGGCATTCTCTTTTTCCTCCTCACAGCTGAGGCCCTGAGTTCTGCTCACAAGATCAGCAACCCTAATCCCAGTTAAAACTCTCTCACCTTCCTGCTTCCCTCAGCCACATGGAATTATCTGGCAATGAATGAAGCAAATCCAAATTACCTTGTGATCCATAACTGTGCCAAAGAGCAGGATGAAAAAGCCCTGTTGTAAAAATCAATAGAATCATTAGGGCAGTTTTCTCCAACAGCATCCCAGTGTTATTTTAATCTTGTCCTCTGGGTAACCCCTGGACAGTAGTACCTGGTCATTAGAAATCCGTTTACACTGATGCAGATGAGCCTGCACTGGCAGAACCAACATTGGCATGGTGGCACAGATCTGTATTCCTAACATTTGGGAGGCAGAGGTAGGAGGATCTCTAGGTCAACTAAATCTATAAAGAGTTCTATACAAGCCTGAGTAGCTTAGCAAGACCCGTTTCTAAGAAAAATAAAGTAAGATGGACAAGCAAATGAAACTTGGGTCCTGGCTTGTTTTGAATTGAGGTAAGCATTTTGTAAATAGTCAACTATGGATCCTGAGATGGTAAAACAAAATTTTAATGAAAACTACAAAGGCCTGGAAGCTGGGAGGGCCTTTTCTCTATCTGTAGACAGTGTTGTTGTGAAGAACTATGGGTGTAGCTTATATGAAACCTGGGTTTGGTTCCCAGCACCAGAAGAGAAGAAGAGGGGACAGTGAAGGGAAGGGAGGTGAAGAGAAGAGAATAGAAGAAGGGAAGAAGGAAGGGGAGGGGAAGGAAATGCAGGGAGGAGAGGAGAGAAAAGGAGAGGAGAATTAAGCCATTAGTTGCTACAGTAACTTCCAGAGTGGGAAAATTAGCCAAATATGGCGGCTTACACCTGAATCCCAACACTCAGGAGACTGGGACAAGAGAATCACCATGAGTTTAAAGCCAGCTTGGGTTAAAGAGCAAGACCTTTTCTCAAAACTTTAAAACAGAACAGGGGTCCAGAGAGATGGCTCAGCAGTTAAGAGCACTCACTGCCCTTGCAGAGGACTAGTGTTCAATTCCCAGCACCCACATGGTGGCTCACAACCATTTGTAACTCCAATCCAGGAGACCTGATGCCCCTCTTCTGGCCTCTTCAGGCACTGTATGCACATAAAGACACATGCAGGCAAAATATCCATATACATAAAATAAAAAATAAAGGGAAAAACTTTTTTACTTAAGGCAAAAAGAGAAGAGAAGTTCAAGAGCTTTTGAGTTCAAGAAAACAAAGGCTAAAGTCAGCAATTTCTCTTTAAAACCATTTAAGGTGAAGGGTGAAACTGACACAGACCATAATTACTTAAAGAACAAGTAAGATACACAAGTGACCTAAACTGGCATTTCTTTAAAGTCTGTGTTAAGTTTACACTTCATGAAGTACCCTAAGTACTACTGACAGATCAAGAGAAATGCTTTTCTACTTTATTGACTAGTTACAATATTTAAAGTGAAAGTTGGAAAACTTTCTCCCAAACACCAGATAGTAAATATGTACACTTGGCTAGCTATAACCATCTGCTGCAACTACTCAAGCGTGTCACTGTAGGCCAAAGTCAGCTACAAGGAAAACATAAGCAAGTAGGCATGGCTGTGTTCCAATAAAACCCTGTTTACAAAAACAAGCAGAAGACTGAGTTTGCCAAGCCTGATTAAAGGTATAATTAAGACTATCAACCTGCCAGATTTTCTGTTACTCATAGGTAGAGAATGCAATCTGATTAAATGATAGCATCCCAAAAATACAAGTTTAGAAGCAAGAGGAAAGATTCAGGGGGACCATCTCATCAGAGCATGTTTGCTGGAGTGGGAAAAATACAGTGGAGATCATGCCACATCCAAATCCTTATTTTACCAGATGAGAAAGTTGAGACCTGGAGGAAAACCACCTTCCCAAGACCAGCTAACATAGGGCGAGATCTAATATACAAATAGTAACTAGCATTTATTTCACAGGAAATGGCAAGAAAGAAGGATAAGAATTCCTGGCTGGTCGACTTCCAAAGTGGAGGTCCTCTCTCTGCACTACAGAAAATGTTTGTTTTGCTGAGTTCCCTGGAGAAGGACAGCATTACGCGCATTTTGACGAAGGAGCAACTTTTTACATCCCTGACCAAAGGACAGTCATCAATGTGAGAAGATTAACTTCTGACATGATAGGGAGGACACAGGGTTACTGAGACAAAAGGAAGGACATTCCCCTCCCACCAGCCTGGTTAACTGACTACAGCCTTATCAGTAGTCAAGCATAGCAACTCCCTGAGACGGGCAAACATCTACAAGTTTGAGGCCATCCTGACTACAAAGTGAGACCCTGTCTCAGAAAACTTTTTGTTAAAAAATCGGGGGAGGGGACCAAGTGAGATGACTCTATGGGTAAAGGTCCTTGCCACAAAGCTGATGACCCGAGTTCAGTCTCTAGGATCTGCATGGTAGAGAAAAAGAACTGACTCCTGTAAGTTATCCTCTGACCTCCACATGTGTCCCGTGGCATGCATATGCCCCATACATGCATGGACACAGAGTGTCTGCACAACAAATCAGTAAATAGTCATTTTTAAGTGGAGAAACATATCAATCTAAGTGGGTGATGCTATGCTTAGAGACCCCCAAAATCTAGAAAGAACTCTTGGTATCCTGTGGTAAATAAATCACAGCCACCCTTTGATGTCTAGCCTGAAACACAAAGCAAATCCCTCTACTGAACTTACCTGGAAAGCATTGAGCAAGGCAAAGATGATATGGAACACCAGGTGTGTGCCTTCTAGCAAGGTTACTAGACCAAAACCCCAGGTTAGTCCCAGCAGCGGGGTGAGGATGGCAACATTTTTACTGATCCTGATAATTATGGCCATATCCTGAGATTTTGAACTGCCCATCAAAGGCCTCTGAGTGTTAATAGCGACTGCCAGAACCACGAGGAAATTCACAGCCACAATGGCCAAGGCTGGGATAGCAAATGCCAAAAGGGCTTTGGTTTGGTTCCAATTAAGCCAGCAGGCATCTTTTCTGGTGTAGCCTTCCCCCATCTCCGTGACGGTAACTGTAATGACAGCAATCACCAGGGGACACCCATAGCCAACGACAAAGCCAATGGCCATCATCCGAGACGTCATCATCCTTCGGAAAACAATGAGTATCCCATAGACTATGAGCAGCCCTTTGAAGAGCATCCAGAAAAACAGAGAGAGGAAAAAAAAGTGGCTGAAAAATGTCACAGCCACACACCACTTGTGGTCCTCCTGAACGTTCGCACTGGAGCCAATGATGAACCACACGTTCGCTGTCAGGAGGGACACCGCGATGTTCACGATGCACACGTGCCGCATGTATGATATCTCTGTCACAACCACCCTGGACCAAACCACGGCTTCGACAACCAGGCAGAGCACCAAGCTAAAGATGGAGACACTGATCCCAATGAAAGTGATATAGTTCAGAACCTTGTCCCTTACAGGCTTGGATGACATGAGAATGGAAAAGGACATCACAGTTCTGTTGTAGTTACAGTGGCAATTCACTGTGCCCTTGGAATCCAACACCATTCTACATGGGCTCTCATCCCACTGCCTCCTCTCCGAATGCCAGCCAACACAGTGGCTGACAGTGCTCTGGGATTTATTGATCTTTTCAAAGGTGAGCATGATTTCTTTCAGATCTTCTGGCAAAACCAGCGACAGGATGAGACTATTTATGGGCTTTGAGAGATTCACGTCTGGCCCATGGACTTCTTTGAGAATGGCCCCCAAGGTTGGAAAAGCTGTGCCAATGGCTTGGGAGGCGTTGGGTGGCAGCTTGTGTAGTGCTTGTCTGGGAATTTCTATCAGCACTAAGACATCTTCTGTGTCATTGTCCATAGGCATGGAGAGGTTGAAACTGTTCTTGGAGGTGTTGTGATGGATGCGAGCACCTTTGGTCTGAATGAAGAGTTCATTGACAATGCTCTCGGATTCACCCTGGACTTGGAGTTTCTTGGCAAAGGAGTTCACTGACTGCAACAAATCTGAGCTGGCATTTTTATTGGGAATGAAAGCCCAATTTGAAATGGCAGCCTTGCTAAGGATGTGGTTGGCCATTTTTCCATAGTTCTGCAATGAAAACAAGCCTGTTAGTATAAAAAAAAAGCCAATTTCTAAAATCCTAAACTTTGGCATATCTAATAATTATTTCATCTCATTTTGATACTTGCCTCTTCAAATTCACTACTTATTACAATTGTGCATTAGTAAAGTTAATGGAAGAAAATTAAAAGAATATAAAGTATATGTATTTTAGTGTAAAAAATACAGAGAATCTCAGCAGTTGTCCTGGCTAGTTTTATGTCAGCTTGATACAAGCTAGAATCATTTGAAAGGAGGGAACCTCAATTGCAAAATATGCTTCAATAGATCCAGCATTGTCTTAATTAGTGATTGATGAAGGAGGGTCCAGCCCATTGTGGGTGGTGCCATCCCTGGGCTGGTGGTCCAGGGTTCTACAAGAAAACAGGCTGAGCAAACCAGGGGAACAAGCCAGCAAACAGTACCCTCCATGCCCTGTGCATCAGCCCCTGCCTCCAATTTCTTTTCCTGTTTGAGTTCCTGCCTTGGCTCCCTTCAAATGATAGACTATCATAGGGAAGTAGTATAAGCCAAATAAACCCCTTTCCTCCACAGCTTGCTTTTTGGTCATAGTGTTTCATCACAGGAATAGAAACCCTAAGTAAGACAGCAGTTAAGGGCATTGGCTGCTCTTGCAGAGGACCCAGGATCAGTTCTCAGCACATGACAGCTCACAACCATCAATAAATAACTCCAGTTCCAGTTCCTGCCTCTGAAGGCACTAAACACACATAGTATACACACATACATGTGGGCAAAACACTAATACACATAAAACTAAATCTTTTGAAAAGAATATATAATATATAAACATACATACATGTATATTTCATATATTGTGTATATATGTATATGATTATCTAGATATTACTATTGCATCAGAGGAAGATCCTCTATACAGAATATAGTACTCAAGTTCCATGAAATGTGAAAGATTGTTTTATGGAAGGAAGTATCTGTGTACTCCATGATAAAGTTGAGACATATTTTATACATACCATATCCCTATATCCCTCCCTTCAATAATAAAAGCCGGTGTTCGTGAGCACACTAAATAAAGCCTCTGAGAAGACGACCTAGGGCTTGCTGGAATAGACCTCTGTTAGGAGACTGTTCTCCCAACATACATGAAGCCCTGGGCTCCCTTCCCGGCACAGCAAAGACTGGATGGAGCAAGGCACATCTGAGCTCTCAGGGCTAGGAATGTGGAGGCAGGAGGATCAGAAGCCCAAAGTCTGGCTCAGCTATATAGAGTATGTGAAGCTAGCTTGGGCTACATGAGACCCTATCTCAAAAAGACCCATCCTAAGGAAACACATTTAACTTTTTTTAACCCACAGATACTAACTACTGTTGTGACACACAACTTCCTTCTAAAAACGTAGAGTCAAACAGCATGAACTATCAGGGAAGACTCGGTGTAAGGCTGTCACTATGTATTCACAGTCTAGCTTTCATAAAGAAGAATATGTCAATGCAGAAATCTGAGCAGAAATGCCAGCTGCTGGAAAAGAACGTTTGAAACTTAAAGTAGAAAGATTTAAGAAAAATCATGTCTGTGTTTAATTACATTAAATTTTAAGTACCTTCATTTTCTCACGAGTCACATTACCATGTGGTCCATTATAGGTTTGCAAGCCTGCAGAAATATTTTTTAATAACTCTACTACGAATGCAATATTTCCAGAGGTAACTTCAGAGGATTTCACAGCATCAACTATGCAGACGTAGTCCACAGGGCAGTACTTGTGGATTCCTTGAAATACATTTCCAATACGGACTGGTGGTAGCTTGCTACCTATTAAGTTCATGGGGAAAACAGAAGACGATGCCACAGAAAGACTGGCTGCAGTATTTGGGCCCTGTATAAAAATAAATAAATAAGTAAACCAACATGCATTGGAGGAAAGGAACTAAACCGCAAACAAATTCCACGGGAAAAACAGACAGACAAGGTGACCCTAGAAGGAGTTCGCTTGCTGAGAATAATGAAAGGCAGTCACAGGAGGCCTGGCTACCACCAAAATTCTCAGAGATCAGACTAGTGACCCTTTCTAGAATTTACTTTCAGAATAATGGCTTGAACTGAAGCGTGTGTGTGTGTGTGTGTGTGTGTGTGTGTGTGTGTGTGTGTGTGTGGTAACCATGTATGTGTGTTCTTGTGTACACATGTCACAGGACAGAGGATGCCCTCACCTGTGTATGCACATATGGACATCACTGGGGAGGCAGAGGCAGGCGGATCTCTGGGAGTTCAAGACCAGCCTGGTCTACAAGCGCTAGTTCCAGGACAGCCTCCAAAGCCACAGAGAAACCCTGTCTTGAAGAAAAAAAGTCGATGTTGAGTGTCCCCCTCAATCAGTCTCTCCACTTTATTATTTTTAGGGTTTATTTTATTGTTAATTATGTACACCCATATGTGTCTGTGTGCGGGACTGTGCACATAACTGCAGATGCCTGGGGAGGTCAAGAGGGGATGTCTTTGGAGCTAGACTTACAGACAGTCGTGGGTCATCCAATCTGGGTACTAGGCACCACAGCCTGGACCTGTGAATTGGCAGTAATGTTTCTTAACCACTGAGCTCTCTACTTCATTTTTTTTCTTAATGAGGTCTCTGGCTGAACCTGGAGCTCACTGCTTTGGCTAGACTAGCTGAATGGCTATCACCAGGGAGCTGCCCAGCATGGGGTTTACAGGCACACATGGTTGTCACAGAGGTCTTGGATTCTGAATGCCTGTCCTCATGTTTACCAGCACAGCAAGCACTTTACCCACTGACGCATCCTCCCTAGCCTTTCAAGATTTATAACAAGATAAATTCTACAGAAATGGGGAGCAGGAAGATCCAAGTGGAATTTCAAAGGAGAATTGTTTGGGGGAGGTTAGCTGTTCACATATCACATACTAAAGAATCACAATTTCAAAAAAATGTACATTTTTTCCAATTGTAAATTATTGACCATTTCCAGTTATTTTTTTTTACTATACTCCCTCAGAAAGTGACTTTGAATAAGCAAGCATTTCCATTCTCTTTGCCTCTCAGTGTAGTTACAGGGACTTCGCCATGATTCCCTGCAAAAGCGACATCATCTGTAATCGCTTTATAAAGCCCCTGTTAAATACACAACATTGAGAGACCAAGAGAATGGATGTGGTGGGGATCTGTCTCCTTTGGTGGGGTTGGAGGGAAATAGAAAAAGTGGGTGCTTAGTAAAGTATATGAGATAGATTTTCATTGTAACTGAGACATGTAGGGACTACTGAATTCTTATTCCTTCTGAATTCTCTGTTTTAGTTAAAAAACTGAAAGCATTAGAAAAGAAGGCATGTTTAATTTAAGACGTATTTAGTTGACTAACACAAGGGGCATATAAATCCCCCCATGAAGCTAAGCTGAAAATTCTAAGTCATCATCTGCATGTAGTTTAACTTTTACTTGACTTTATCTAACCTTTCATTTCTAAGGTTAGAGTTGGCACAATCTCTATTTCTCAGCTGGACTTCTCACCCAAGCCTGGAACTGATCCTTACTGAGAGAAAGAGGGAAAGAGGCAAGTGCATCAGTGAGTAGGGAAGGCAGCCATGATGCAAGCCACTGGGCAGCTTTCCCCAAGCCCACACCCGAGACTTTCTGTTGTTTAAAACAGATCAGGACAGAAGTGCTGACAACCACCACCCTACACACACACACACACACACACACACACACACACACACACACACACCTCAGGGAAAGTCAGCTCCTGTCACCAGGAGTGTACCAGAGTGTCACCTGAAACAGGGTATCCACAGAGAGACTTGTACACGTTTCTATTGTTTTCTGCCATTTGTCTTGATTACATGTGAATACTATTTCTCCACGGAAATCCAAAGGACAGCTCTGGCTACAGTTGGAAGGTGGGGTGCAAAATCCATCACATTTATCTGAAACTAGGAAGACAAAAAAAAGACAGAGAAAAGAAAAAAATCAGCAAGTTAGAGGTCAAATGACCATTTCCACACTGACAAATGCAAATGATTCATTCTGTAACTTCATGAATAGCTGGCCAAGGAGACAACACTGAGCTGCGCTCTCAGCAACAATAAAGAACTGCGTGGTCGATGGTGAAGCTAGTGTCCAGGAGGAGTGAGCAGGAGACAGAAAGGGGGAACTCAGGGTATTCAGAAATCCCTGTTGAGAAACCGTGAGGTGGGAGAAAGGGAAGAGAAAACTGGAAGGAACACAAGGGCTCCGAAGACCGTGGTGGTACAAGTGAGAAATGACCCCATGAGCTCATGCATTTGAGTTCTGAAGACCGTGGCGGTACAAGTGAGAAACGACCCCATGAGCTCATGCATTTGAGCTCTGAAGACCGTGGCGGTACAAGTGAGAAACCGGGCTCTGAAGACCGTGGCGGTACAAGTGAGAAACGACCCCATGAGCTCATGCGTTTGAGCTTGGTCCCCAGTTGGTTGCACTGTTTAGCAAGGTTATGGAACTTTTAGGAAGCCAGACGTTGCTGGAGGAATTACGTCACTGAGGGCAGGCACTGGAAGTGTACAGCCTCACCCCACTTCCCTCTCTGGTTGAAAATGGGACCTCTCAGCTTCCGGCTCTGGTTGTCTGCGGCCAGGGCAGTGGGTGCTGTGCTGTATAAGAAGGCTGGATGAGCATGAGCTAGTGAGCAATCAAGAAAGAAGCATTCCTCCATGGTTTCTGCTTTAGTTCCTACTTGAGTTCCTGCCTTGACTTCTTTCAATGGGCTATGACTTGGAAATATAAACGAAAATAACTCCTTTCTTCTCCAAAATTGCTTGTGGGCAACAAAAAGCCAGCTAGAACATGATGATACATGGATAGTGTAGGAACTACAGCGATAAGGGAGAGCAATGCCTTGCCCAAACTAGCTGGGAATGTGTGTACCAGGCAACACAATGGCTGTTTTGTACAAAAAGCCACTGAGTTCTGGTTTAGGTACTGCTCAGTGAATAGGCAAATTTGCAAATTCAGACTCTGCAAATAGAGGGTCAGTTGTCAATGTATAGATACACAAACAAAAGCTACTTTTCCAGGGGCAATGTCATTCATTGTCTGGAATTCAGATTTAACCAGACACACCTTATTTCACATTAAAAGTGTTTTTCTCACAGTATGTTAAATTGGTATATTATCAAATTAATGGAGTCTTAGTGTCTGTGAAATAAGATAACTAGCTGTTATCAGTTTCCCACGGTAAGACAGTTTAAGAGGGATTATATTCTTATTTAAATTTTGTCTCAGGTGGAACGTAATTTCTTACATTCTGAATTGTAGCTGGATACTCAAAGACAGTATAACCTAAACTAGGAGTTGCATCATAAGTAACAGTATAGAATATAACAAAACAGTATCTCCCCACCCCAAATTTAGATGCTTGTATGAAGTCAATGATTTTAACCTTACTGAAGTACTAGCACTCAAAATAACCTTGACAGAGATCATGACTGTGCTGACAGTCATGAAGTTTCGACTTTAGTGCAGTGAATAGTTGGAGATATGTTTTCATATATCAGAGCTAACCACCTCTATTAGTGTTGGTTGCTCAAATCTAAAATATAAGCTATAAAAAGTGTATGACAGCTATTTTTGGTTTTCAATTTGACTATGTCTGGAATTAACTAAACCTCGTGGCAGGGTATGCTTATGAGGGAATTTTTTTCTTAATTAAATTATTTGAAGTGGGAAGACCCACTTTTAATCTGGGCCACACCTTCTGCTGGCAGCCTCTATAAAGGACATGGAAGAAGGAAGCTTTTGCTCTTTGCCTGAATGTCCTCACCCTTGATGGCAAGTCCGTTCCTTTACTGGCATTAGAGCCTGCTTCTTTGGGGTTCTGGCATATACTGAAGACTATCCAGCCTCATGGACTGAACAAGTATGGAATTCTCAGACTTTCCAGTTGGCATACGGTCATTGTATTGGACTAGCTAGACCAGAGCCCCATAGCCTGTAAGCCATTCAAATAAATCTCCATGGTGTTGTTGCAGATATGTAATGGGGCACATCTTGCACAACACTCAATGTTTAAATGCTCGACAATTGTTAGCGTCCTTTCTGTCCTCTTTCCCTTTCCATTATCACATTTCATAGATACATGTGCCACCTGCCTTAAACTTGACAGTGACTTGAAATGTTTGAGTGAAATCACATGATGCTAAAATGTCAGTAATGATAATAATTTCATTTCCCCTACTTCAGGGGTGTTGCCTGTTTTACCACCATCAATTCACCTTGTTTTGTTTTACCAGAACTCAGAGCACAAGAGTACTGCTTATATTTAAGAACCCTGAATATACCTTTGCAGGAAAGAAGAACAGTACCCTCTTGACCTGTTCTAACAAACTTACTTCCCTTTTAAGTTTGAAAGTGGACATCAGTCTACTGCTCTAGAGCATGCGTGAATATGTGCCAACTTGCCTGATTAGTTACATAAGAAACAAATTATAAGGCAATGTATCAATGTTGATAAACACAGAGAACTCATGAGAGGTTATTATTGGAAAGTCTGAGGTCTGAAGACATGCTTGCACCATCCACCCCTTCTCTATTTTTGCCCTATCTCCAAATGAGTGAAGACTATTCTATACATACCTTGCATCCGACTCAACTTATGCTTCCATGAAGACATCTGAAGTTCATTTCTATCCTGAAAAAAAATCCAAGAAAAACATTTACTGTGTGATGTTCTCTCTCAGTTTAACTTAGGGTGTCCATGAAATGTAAAGAGTAAAAGTGTTCAAGACTGGAAAGGAAACTGTGGCAGACTCAAGTGATGGTCCTGAGGGAACTTGCTGGAGATGACACCAGTGAGGACACTCTGAGTGCTAACCTTGAAGGTCAAGTTAGTGGGTGGGGTGGATCTCTTGTAGTTTTAAGGATCCAGAGAGAACATAGAAGTGGCAATTACACCATCAAGCTAGATTCTACCTTTACTGACTACATGGATGGAATACAGCTAAGGAAAAATCCCAGGTACTCTAAAGACATCCTTAGGATGAAAAGAATAGAAGCTAAGAATGTTCACTGGGTTGCAATAATCAAATCACAATCCTTTTATACAAGTAAAGGATTATAAGTATTGCCTTAAAGTATAAGCTTTGATATGATACAGATAGGATATGTGATAAAGAAATTAAGACTCTGTGAAGCAAAACAACTCCCAGAGCCAGGAAAAAACTAAAGTAAAAGCTGACTCTACATTGTTCTGCCGCCAGCTCGGGTCTTTCCCCTCTCTACAGCTGCTGTCTACAATCTCTGTGACTTGCAAAATGATCTCCACATTGAACTGTTGCTTCCTGGGCTGTTGTTTCCTGACACCGCTGAACTTTTGTTGTCGTTGCCTTCCCTTGAAAGTCACTCTCGGTAAGAGTAAAGTTATAGTCATACGAAGATGTATTTCTAATTGGCATGTTACTTATCAGATTCCTGGACATGTAAGACAGCTGAGGGATTTCTTTTGGACTTACACAGCATGGGACCCAGCTTACCTTTCTGTGAGTCTTGGATTTGAATTGAGAACATTCCACAGTCAGGAAAAGCACTAAACAGCAAACGATGGTGACCGGGGGCTTCATTTTCACACATGAGGATTTTTAACCTGCAACAGAAAAGCAAGACGGTAGATCCAGCTGAAGGTGATGACTTTCCATGACCCACTCAGCGCACAGCAGGGGAAGCCCTTAGTAAATACACCAGAGAGAACCACATCAGTGTAGCTAGAGTCGTGCAGAACAGGAGACTCAACTGAGAAAATGACTCCCTCGGGTTAGCCTATGGACAGTCATGTCTGTGGGCATTTTCTTGATTAATGCCTGACACAGGAGGTCCCGGTCCACCGTGAGCAGCTCCACCCCTGGGAAGATCCTGCGGTGTGTAGGAGAGCAGGCTGTGTAAACCAGTGGGAGCATCCCAGAAATCATTGCTCCTGCCCGGTCTCTGCTTCAGTTGCTATTCCTGCCTTTTATTCCAGCCTAGGCTTCCCTTCATGATGGACTGTAGTTGGGATGTGATAGAATAAGTCCTTTACTCCTCACTCCTCGGAGCGAGCTGCTTTTGGTCAGAACATTTATCACAACAATAGAAAGCACACTAGGTCACACACCAAAACAACATTCCTTGGGAGAGGACTCTAATACCTGTTTCCAATCTAATTAAAATGAAAAAAATCAAGAATTTCTCTCACCACTGATCTTTCTACTGCAGAAGACAATGGACACATCCAGAAAGATGCATGTTCAGCAAAACGCCAATCTTTATTCCTCACATCACAAATTTCTTGAAAGCATTATTTATCAGATTTTCTAGGGAGTCTGGGAAGATGGTTCAGTCACACCTGTAATCCCCTACTACTAGGAAGGCTAACACAAAAAGAACCCTGGGGCTCACTGGCCAGTCAGGCCAGCCAAATCAGCCAGTTCTGGGTTAATGAAAGACTCTATCTCAAAAACAAGGAGCAAAGTGACAGAACAACTACAACAACAACAACAACAAAAAAAAAAAACAATGTCATCCTTTGGTCTACACATGTGTACATATGTGCACACACACACACACAGTGGGTGGCATTATGTAACTGCTGTGCACCAGGTCTCTAGTCACTTGGAGACAAATAACTTGACATAAATTAATGTACATACTTGTCTGCTACTAGAACAAGACTCTCTCAGTAGATGAGTCAACTACTGTGCAGACAGACTGAAGGCCCTGGGGAGTAATCATCTCTTCTGTGGCCATGTCTGTGTTTCTTGCCTTTTCCTTGACCATCTTTCAAAGTCACATTTCTAACAAGGTATCACCACGGAACCTCCATGTGGGATAGGAGCAATTCAGACCCCTGACTTTAAGACTTTTTTTTTCCTTATAATTTTCTTTCTCTTGGAGATGCAGACACAGAGGAGCAAAAGTAGCCTGGACTTTTGGAAACAGAGCTGGGTTCCAGCTTCCTGTCTACTGTTTATAACCTGACCTTGCCAAAGCCTATTTTCCCACTCATCTCCTTAAAGGTAGCATAGAACCATCCTAACAACCAACATTTATCAGGTAGCTCGTATTTGCCAGAAACTGTACCAGATGTGAGAGAGTAAAAATAAAAAGAAGACAAGCTGTATTGGTTACTTTTCTTCTGTTGTGATGAAACACAAGAAGTTTAGTTTGGTTTATGGTTTCATAGGGATACGAGTCCATCATGGCAGAGGAGTGTGGTGGTGGGCAGCAGGCTCTGGGGCAGGGGATGAAGCTGAGAGCACATGTTTCGGTTGCCAGCATGAAGACGGAAGCAGGCACAGGAGGTCAAGAGGGATGTGGGAGGGGAGCGGGGTATGAAGAAGAGAATAAGGAAGACTCCAAAAGTTAAGGGGGTAGTATGGAAACCTGAAACAGCAGAAGCTTCCTAAGATATACACATATAAAAAGGTGATCTAAGTGAAATCACCAAATAATGGGGGAGACAGAGGCCCAAGTGGACATCACTTGTCACCAAATGAAGGGTGAGGAGGACTGGGAGGACTAGAGGGAGGGGAATGAATATCTAGGATATGTTATGTAGGAAGATATATGCTTTCAATACAAGGGGGGAAATTAAGAAGAAATAAAAAAGGAAGTCTGAGCAGGGAAACAAGCAGGATGAACCATAGCTGGGGAGTGGTAATGAATCTGCAGGGACCCTGGGGTTGTGTGTGTACAGAATTCGTGATCATACAGTGTGGGCAGAAAGAGGCCCCTGTGTCTGATTGGCCCATAGTTGTGCTGGGCAATGCCACAGTAGACATTGTGATGGTTAGCAACATACCGGAAGAACCTGTGTAAGTCATCTTAAAGTGCCCACACATTTCACAGACACACCTGACTTTCAAATTTTGTTACCATGACACAATAAAAAAACAGCATACGTTATGAGTCAGTATGCATATATAAATATGCCTACAAATTTCGATACACAAAACTGAAAAATAACATAATTTTTTTGCCTTAAACGCTTTATTATAAAGACATTACACACACACACACTACCAGATGCCCTGATACAACTGGTATTTTTTATCTTGTGTGCTACTTTAGTCTACCTGGTATCTTCTCAAGTACTGGTTGGGACCCACTAAACTCAAAAGCCCCTAACGCATCATCTGCTATGAGTTAAAAGACAGATAGCCCGAGGAAGCACTGATATCTTTATTTATACCTTCTTAGATTTACTATTGATAAATACTTAAAGTGAATTTGAACTGGTGAGATGGCTTGGCAGAGAAAGACCTAGTTAGCAAGCCTGGTGGTCAGAGTTGGATCACAGAGCCCATGTAAAGAAAGGAAAGAGAGATCCAGTTCCACGAAGTTGTCCTCTGACCTCACATGCACACCGGGACATACACCTGCACACAAGTGCACCGTAAGCAAACACGTGAAAATTTACATGTCAAGCGAACTTTACATTTTGCATGACTCCAAGCTGAAAAGTTTCTACAAATGAATTAAGTAGGTCTCTCTCCAATCTTTGGTACTATCTTGTATGTAGTATGTTATCTCTTAATAAGGTAGAAAAAAACTAAATACTACATTAAAGGCAGCAGAAAGGTGTAAGCCATACAAAAGAGAAAAGCACAAGTCTCAGGCAGGAGCCTGACTTAGGCTGTCTGACCTGGCTGGGCAGCTGTCAGTGAAGGCTAAGTGTCTGGCCTTACTCTGTGTGAACGCTAAGTATTGCTGCACATGTGTGATGCTCAGCTCTGTTCTGCAGTATGCTCAGGTTGTTGTCGGCAAGGTTGAGTGCATCCTCAACATCTATTGCTATGAAACATGGCTAAGGGAGCAGACACTCCCAGCAGGAAGATGGGCTTCTTAAATCAAGACCGTAACCCAGGGACAGATGTATGGTTGCATGGTAAAAACAAGCAAACACCCACTTGGCTTAGGAAAAGCTTTGGCTTCAATCCCCAGTGTGTAATGCAGAGAGAGAGTGGGGGGTCTAGTACCCTGTGGAAGAAAATAAGCAAGGTTCTTAGGGTACCACAGTAGTGCGTATGTGTATTTGGGACAGTTTCCTATTATCCACTAATTTTTTTCTCAACCATTTGCAATGGGCACCAAAGGTGAAAGAAAATAAAACTAAAGAAACGTTAACAATTGGGGCATTTATATCCACTGGCTTCAGTTTTCTTTGAATTTGAGAGTTCTGTCTGCTTTCCTATGGTAAGTAGTGTAGGTTTCACATACATTGGATTCAGTGCCCTAATGAACCTCAGTTTCATGACAGATAAAGATGTTCCATCCACCCGACCTAGGGAACAAAATACTATGCCAGACTCCCTCTTGTCCCCAACACACACACACACACACACACACACACACACACACACACACACACACACACACAATTCTTTCAGTAACAGTATTGTTTCGCCCAGACTTTACCAAAATTACATCAGCAACAAAAAATGCTTTGGGGGCTGAGAAGAGGTTGGGTAGATGACTCAGAGGTTAAAAGCATTGGCTTCTCTTTCAGAAGATCCAGGTTCGATTCCCAGCACCCATATGACAGCTCACACCCTTCTGTAGGTCAGGTCCCAGGGACCTGCTCCTGATCTCTGCAGATACTACATGCACAAAGTGAAGAGACATATGTTCAAGCAAAACACCCATACACACACTTGCAAAACACCCTGAGGGGCTCTAGAGAGAAGAGACCTTACTGCTTTTGCAAAGAACTTTGGTTCACTTCCCAGTATCCAGATCAGGTGGCTCACAACTGTCTGTAACTCCAGCTCTAAGAGACAAGCCTCTGTGGACACCAATATTCATGTATATATAGTCACAAGGGCATATACATAATTAGAAACAAAGATAAACCTCTTTAAATGCCTTGAGGAGTATAAAGCTGCTATCATGTGAAAATCATGCTATCTTAGAGGAAAACACACTCAGCTATCTGAGTTTGGACTCCAGGGTTATTTGCTGGGCATCTAGCCAATGCCCATCCCTATGGCAGTATGTTCATGGGAGGCACTTGTGGCTCTCACACCAAAGCTCTGGAAAAACACAAGAAAGAAGGACAGAATTGGAAATGAAAATTGAGGAGGAAACAAAATGCCAATGAACTCTAGTTTGAGGTCATCTTCAGCAATGACGTAAATAGCGAGTCACTTGTCATTTGCAAAGAACCTCTCTCTGGTTTCTTTGCTAGTCCCCCAGTGAGGGCAGATCCACACCTTATTCTCAGAGTGAATAGCACAAGGTACTAATTTCAGCGAGACCACCTAGTGTGGCAGTTTCTCAGGACCTATGAAAGTAATTGAAGCACAGTCCAGCTCTCCCCTTCCATCCAGAGCAGCTTGCCTCTCCACACACCCTGGCAAAAGCGTGAATTACCCTCCACCACCCACCTTCACTTCTCACACGATAATAAACAGCAATTCTAAGCTGCCAAATACAGCCAGGCTCCCTGTTGTAACCTGGTGATTACAGAGAGAAAATAGCATGGGCTGGTCTTGAAGACTTAAGGGAAAATGCAACTAAATCCACCGGTCAGCCCAGAGTGGGGTATCTAAGCAATTACCCCTCCCAACCTATTTGCTGTTCTGGGCATATCACATCCCTCTATGGAAGAGATCTAGTCACAATGGTCATGAAAATCTGAGAGAAAGCAGGCCACAACTAAGATAAAATCTTGTTAGTCAGAAGATGGACACCTGCCCTTTCTCCGTCCTCAGCCAACTCAGCATCCATTCAGAATGGGAAACGCTTGTTGAATAAATGAATGAGTGAATGAATGACCCTGCAAATTGAATGAATGGAGACCCTTGCCCAACATATGAAGGTTTTGCTCTAAGATCCAAGGAAACCTCCTCTATCCTCAAGAAGCAGGTGAGCATACAGATGTCTCCCAGTAGCCTCCTTCAGCCAGCAAAATCCCTACATATTTCATTATTTTCCAGAAAAAATGGTGCAAGTATTTGCACAAAACCTCTCCCGCATGTTACACCATCACAGATGCTTTGTAAATAGTTGTTATCCTAAGTTGTTTAGGAAATAATAATGATAGGCACATCTGCACGTACTCCGTTCTAACACAGGCTCTTCCCTGAAGCTTTTCGCTCTGCCATTAAAGATGTGGGTGTGGGAGCGCACAGACACAGGTAACCCTGGTGCTTGGAACTCCTGATAATTTCTGGAACCTGCTGAGTTTGGTAGAAATGTTCTCTCTCTTGTCAAGCCTCCATGTTGTTGCATTGTCTGGGCCCTCATTTAAAAAAAAATGTCTATGAAGTTTCACGAAGGAAGAGATATGGAGGAAGGAAAGAGGGAAAAAGAAGAGGAAAAGGGAGGGAAAGGGAAGGGAGGACAAGGAAGTGAGGTAAGATGAGGACACAGTGGTGTTGGCTGTGCATGTGTCCCCGCTCTGTGCTGTGTCCATTTTCAGTCAGGAACCCTGACCCTCCGGACAGTAAGAACCATGTGCTCCTGCACACTACCTCGTATTTGTTCTCTCTTTCTTGTACATACAGCTGAGTTTCTGAGTGAGTTGTCTTTCAAAATGATAACCAGTCTTTCTGGGTCCTGGAACCCACTCCCGTCATTCACTAGACGAGGCTGTAGGATGAGTCATGCTCACCGAGGCACTCCGCACCCGCCTCAACATGCCTGGAAAGGACTGACATCAGGATCCCAAAGAAAATAAAAGGTCAGGCCATGAACTGAGAAGTAGACCGTGGCGAAGGATGATTGGCATATGAGCTCTCAGACTTCCTGATTATCTCCCCTCCAGTGTGAGAGAGAGGCAAATTGTCACTTGTCTATTAACCTTGAAAACAGCAACTGGCTACATGCTCCTTGACAAATCCTACTATCTTATGGGAATGACTAATTCAGAAAGGTTAACTGGAAGATGAGAAACTCAAAAGTGAGAGGGTGTGTGTGTGTGTGTGTGTGTGTGTGTGTGTGTGTGTGTGTGTGTGTGTGCTGTTCCCCTAAGCCTAATCCCATAACCATATATTCCTACTCTTGTTGTGTAATTAGAACTTTGATTATAATATCAAATGGTTAAATGACCTCAGTAATAGAATCTACAGATTGGTTTTTACTGGCTCTCTTTCACCATAGGTGAGGTACGTTTGGTGGAAAAAGAACTACAGAGAACTACTAGAAATAAAACCAGACCCATCTCTTCTTGACTATTTTAGATGGTGTCATCCATCACTTTGTATCCAGATCCAAAAGCTGACAGCTCTCAAGAAGCACAAAATTGCAGAGTAGGAGGCATCTTCATCTCACCAACTATCTCAATACTTGAATAATTGTAAAGTAATTATTGGTTTTGGCAGTTTGTCTGTTCTGTGAAGGACGTTCCCCCGGAGTGCTCACACTAATCATGCAACACCCAATAAAGCCAAAAGCCCAACACAGCTGCAGTTACCCTCTGAGTCCAGAGCACAGGCCTTCAAGAAACCCGCACTGATCAACTCAGAGACCAGGGGGACACTGTAGGAAGGGTTTCCAGCAGTCACTGTTGGTAGTGCTTTTCCTTTACATTGCCATAATGACAATTTGTCAGTTTCATGAAAATAAGAGACAAGAATTTTAAAGCTTTGTGTTCTAAAGAGAGTTGAAATCTATCTGGCATGGAGACAGTGCAGAGGCAGCGAGTCGAATTGGCAGGCATATTGCAATCTCACTCCAAGAGATGAGCAATCCAAGCCTGACAGATGACTCCATGAAGAAAAACAAATATAAAACAGGCACTCCAACTTTGAGCTAGCCAAGAAGGAGACACTGCAGAATCAAGCATTCCAGAAAACACCATCCATCCCAAATCACCCCATTTCCCCCACTCCGGGATAGGTGCAGAAAGAAATCAACTGTTTACTCGCAAAGGGGTGATGGCATGGGCCATGTACTCACGCATCCAAGAAGTAGGTCTGGCAGCCCAGAAGCCGACTGTCACCTGGCAGGAAAGTCAGCACTGAACTGCGGACCTTGGTGCCCCACCATCACGTGGCCACACCGAAACTCTCCAGTCCCCTTCACTGATAGTGACCCATCGCTATCTCTTGGAAAGGGAGTCCCGGAGGCCCGAGTGAGAAGCAACTGCTGGTAGGGAGAAGCCAATCTGGCCACTGCGAAGCAGCCCACAGCCTCGAGGCTTGTGTGAGGCTGTGATTCACCCCACAGTGGGTCTGTCAAGCATGCCTAAGAGAAATTACAGGTTTCTCTTGTCTGAAGCGAATCCATTAAAGTGAGTCACTTGTTTGTCCTCCGATTCTCGTCTTTATCTCAGATGGTCACGTGAGAGTCTGTGTTGCATCTTCCCTGGTGTAATTAGAACAAGGGTGACAACATGCAAGGCTTTGCCACTATTGTTTATGGTTTTAAAAGGCCATTATTGTACTTTACCTGGGCCTATGAATTTGGGGAAAACTGACCGAGAAAGTGACCAGAAAATTATGAGTTAGTCTCTACCTTGGCGCCAGAGAGATTTATGGTTCTTTCTTTTATCTCTCTCTGTCTCTCTGTCTCTGTGTGTCTCTCTCCATCTCTGTGTCTGTCTCTGTGTCTGTCTGTGTGTGTGTGTGTGTGTGTGTGTGTGTGTGTGTGTGTGTGTGTGTGTGTGTGTGATGACTCAGGTCATCAGGCTCGATGGCAATTGCCTTCACCCACTGAGCTGTCTTTCAAGCCCTACTCACTTTTCTTTTTAAGGACTAGGATGAGAAGTTCTTTCGCAGCCTCCCCCATGCCAGTGGGTAATGCGGAGCCAGAGGGTGGCCTCCGCTTGCAGGAAAGCTTCACGTGAGCCAGCCTCCCGGCAACCCGTCAGTCTGGACTGATGTCCGCGCCACCAGAGGCCCACATTCTGATTGTGCCAGTTTGTAAGCCTTCTTTCCCCGAGTGCTGTAATCCCCCACTTAGAAGTCACGGGGGAGGGGTGACACGAAAAGAGAAATAAGTGAGTTGCATCTGTGTTGCCTCACTCCCAGCAATGCAGGTCAGGGAAGCAACATTTGCAGAAATGGGTCAGCCCTATGTAGGTCACTCCTTAAGTACTGGGCCATTTGTGATTTGGAAAAAACCAACACACAGTCTCAAGTGATTGCGTAATCAAAGGACTTTATTGAACGTACATATTTACTGAGCATGCTCTATGTGTAAGACACTTGGTTGCCCTATCAGCATCAAGAAAAGTGTTACAAAGTGGTTATCAAATATAAAGTCAGCCTGTTCCTAAAGAGTCACAACCTTATCTGGGAAAGAAAACAGAGAAAAATATCAAGCCAAGCAAACCATACAGCACAGTAAGTATTAATGGAAGTGAACAGCACAGATTACAAGTGTTATAGGAAAGTGGGGGCAGTCAGGGAAGACCCCCTAGAGAAGGCAGAAGGAAAGCCAGTCTTGGAAACACCATAGGATGAGTGGAACCCCATGGTAGCCCCATAGCAGCCCCCTGGCAGTCCCTATGGTAGCCCCATGGTATCCCCATGGAACTATGCATTACGATCAGGGAGCATTAGCTAACAGGCTCATTTCATGAGCTTCAGTGAGTTTTACTGGATCATAATCCTCCTGTTACACAGACAAAATCAAATGCTTCATTGTTTTATTTAGAAGTCACTTAACTTGTTCCCATGAGGATATCTTCATTCAAACTCATGCCAGAGGCCATGGCTGTGTGTTTACTTGTGCATGGGCATATATCTATATGTACATGTATTCACAGGCACGCTAATGAAAGAAATTAGCATTTTAATGAGCAATTATTACTTTCCAGTACTATTATAAATACTTCACTATTTTGAATCATTACAGTAATCCTAGGAGGGAGACTCACCTATCAGGCACTTACAAATAAGGAAAACGAATTCTAAAGAATTTAAGTGACTTTCCAAGGAGAGCCTTGTAACATGTCCCTTCAAGTGACAAAGCTTCTTCAGAACCATGTCTCCTTGGGCCAGCTGACCATATGACATCGTTGTGAGATGTGAGCAGCACACTGCATTGAGGGTCACACAAGTCAACTTAGTCTGTGCAGTCCGTTGACATCTTTCAAGATGCTGAAGTGTATATTTGGGGGCTGCTGGAGAAAAGGCTAGAGTCCTTCCAGAAATCCTCATGCCAAGGAATGCCAGAGTGGTCCTCTCAGCATCCACCCTCTTTCTTGGTTAGTGATATCACCGTCCTGTCACAGAGAGACTGCACCCCAACTTGAGTGCTTTCAAGACAGACACACCTGCTCAACACGTAATGCAAAAAGATGACTTCCTTCGTCTCTCCCTGTGCCCGGAGCTCTCATCTCTGTGTGGAATAATACTTAGTCTTTTCCAAGCTCTGTGCACGTTAGTACTCCTCCACCCATTAGCCACGAGAGACTCCATCTTGACTTCATTTCACTGACCGTAAGCAAGTGATCATTCATGATACTACAGTATCTGTACTGAGGAACAGCACCATGTATACCCTGTCTTCTTTGTTTAAAGATATCCGGGGATCTGTTGGAGTATAGCTAACTAGACCAACTCTGATACATGAAAAGGATGCTATGTCCCAATGTAAGCACCCCACTGGAAAGAAGACTTTCCCCTAGTTGGTCCATGCTTTCCTGCTTCTAATTGATCTTCCTTGTAACTGTGGCCTCTCAGGCTTCCCTACTTAAATGAAGATATTTCTTTTTATTTCTGTTAACTGTGTATGATGAGGCTGGGGGATGTCTAACTGGTAGGAGTCCTTATTATACAAACATGAGGACTTGACTTCAAATTCCCCTGAGATATAGGGAGAGCCATACCCACCTATAGTCTGTGGGTGGCAGATAAGGGAGGGTCACCGGGGCTTGCTGGCTTGAGCGTAGCTTAAGTTCAGTGAGAGACTGTATCTCAAAGAAATAAGGCAGAGAGTGGTTGAGCAGAGCACCAGACATCCTCTCCTGATCATCTAGAGCACATCCACACACATGTGCAGACACCGCCCACACATAAATAGCACACACATTCTCACACACACAGAGGAGAAAGAGGGCTAGCTACTCACCCACAGAGAGAGCCTGACTTTCCCATTTGTGTTTGGTTTTGATGTTAGTTGGAGTTTTTGATGCTGCTTCTGTGATTTGGTTTGTTGTTTGGTTTTTATTTGTGGGGGGTACTTGTTTTATTAGACAAGGTCTTACTCTTCAGCTTTGGGCCATGCCCAGCCTCCCATCTGTAACAGAACATCAATAATACTGGCCTAAGATAGGACAGCTTGGCATCTGTCCATGTCCCTTTGTCTTTAACTTCTGCTTTTCTTCAGGGGCAGCTGCCTGTGGGTTTGCTTCAGAGAGGCCTTCTACCCACAGCATTGCTCTCTGTCAGGTGACAGCTGCTTTAAATGTTGGGTGTGTTTACATACAGCTAGGAAAATGAGCAGCACAGGGCTTGGAGTATAATATTTCTTCTCCCCCACCTGGGTTTCAGCAGCCTCTCATGTCTGAAAGTGGAAGCAGAGAGCCTCTCAGAGAGAGAGAGCATGGAGCACTGGAAGCCAATAGAGTTGGCCCAGACTAGCAGAGCCATGGCTCACAGTTCCAGGGTTCCACCAGCTTAAAACGGGCATCCTGTTCCATTCAAAAGCTCTACGGTTTTCACTCGGTTCGCTGTCAAAGAAGTCACATCCAAGGCAGAGCCAGGCTTGACCACCTAATCAATTTGACTTTGAGAAAGTAGAACATACTGGCAGAAGGCTCCCTTCGATACAGAGAGGCAGCTGTGAGGTACTTAAGAGTCTGTCCAACCATTGGAGACTACTCTTTAGGACCCTCCTGTAGAATCCAACATGTTGCATCTTAGGCCACCTTTGCTGAGGTAATCCGAGCTCTCTCCCTGGTGATAAGTATGACCCAGCAGTACAGAGATGGAGGCGCCAGTGACACCCTGTCGCTGTGACCCACTTTGTCTTCTTGTCCCTTGTGGATGCTTAGTGTGTCATATATAGATTTGCAGTTGGTGGGGAAGACATGTTCAGAAGCACAGAACAGCTTCGACAGAGGGGCCTTCATGTTTTCCACACGTCACCCCCTCCTCCATCAGTTCTGCAGTGTGGGAGGCTTCCTTCAAAGTACCCAGTGGCAAGAAGACAGGAATTAACTGTATGCTTCCTCAGGCACTGCCATTCCAGGAATGAGCAACCTTGTCAAGAACAGAAAAATCCCAACTTAAATATACAAGTAGCAAGACACAGATGCTTTACGCTTGCACACCCAGCTGCCCGATGGACAGTCTCTTCCTCTAAGGCTCTTTGAAACCCGGGAAATTGTCTTGTTCTATTCCCAGAAGGTGCTCTAACACAAACCACTTCATTTCAGGAATAAGGTGAGGCAAGATCTCAGGTAACACAGGTTAGCCTCAAACCTTTTACGTAATTGAGGATGATGTCACAGTGATCCTCCTGCCTCCACCTCCCCGGTGCTGGGTTTACAGATGGATGTGTTACACACAGCTAAACCCATTTCCTTTGAAGTATGACTATTCTCAGAAAAGAACCATTTCTCTCTCCAAAGCCTCAGGCTACTGTCAAGGACACAGAGGCTGCTGGAGCCTGGGTGTGTTGGAGCAGGTGTGGAGACTCTCTTTGCATACCACAGTGCCTCTTTCTGCATCTCTCTGCACTCTTCTGCACTCTGAGAGTCTTGGTCTGTGTGAACTTCATCCTCTCTGAGTTATTCTGCTGTGAGTTTCCCATACTCCTCACACTCTCTCTGCATACACTTCCCATCTCTGTGAGTCTCCCCATGGATATGGGGTGCTTCAGTGTGTTTACACGATTGTCTCAGGCTTCCACCCTGATGTTCTAGAGCCTGCACAGGTCTGTAGCTCTTAACTGTCTCCCAAAGCTGCATTGCCACGTCCCTCTATATGGCTCTGAGTTAGTTCCTCCTATGGCTCATTTCTCTAACTCTAGCTCCCTATGACTCCATCCAGCTTCTACATCCCCACCCTGAGGGCTCTTCCCCACACTATCAGTCAAAATTTCTTGACCTTTTAAGACTAGAAAAAGGAAAAGGACCACAGTAGGAGATTTGGCAACATTGCTGATGCAAGATGTCCTGGGAGTGGAAAACAAGACGAGATGGACATAGGGAGCCTGCTCAGCCACCGTAAGCATACCCAGGCCAAGACATAAGCCTTCCCAGAAATGCCTTATTGTTTTATGGAACAAAAAATTCCGTAACCCAAGAACGTGCCTTACCAACACAGGAATCAAGAGGATTTATTTCTAATTATAATCAAAGGAATGCCATAAACACAAAGCATACTTAGAGACTGTCCTGCTGCATACTCACCTCCCATGTTAGGGATGTATCCTGGTTTCTTAGCTTGGCCCTTTGGTAGGATGGCAAGAGAATTCAGAAGAAAGGTCCTGTTGAAGACAAAATATCACTGCATCTATCATTGCCAGTCAATCTGCAATTATCACAGCGATTCTAGGTGCACAGAGAACCTGAGGCATGGGAAAATGGTTTCCCTTTCACACCACCTCCTCCTTTCCTGTTCATATTAAAACATCATAGTGACAGGCTTGTCTGGGGCGGGGGGGGGTCCTTCTCTACCATAACCTGGCACTAAGAGAATTCCAGAGCAGGTGGAAGAGGAAGGAGGAGCATGAGAAGGAGAAGCAGGGAGAGGAAGAGGAGGAGGAGGAGGGAAAAAAAGAGAGGAGATAAGGGAAGGGAGAGTAGAGAACAGAAGAGGAGGGAGGGAGAGGGCATAGAGAGTGGTAAGAAGAAAGGAACCTGGAGTCTTGCACTTGGTTTCTTAACAACCGTTCTACTGAAGCCCTCAACAGTAAGGTTTCCTACACCTTTGTGGTGCTCATGCGCCAAAAAATCTTCTGGGTATTCTTTAGGCATGTGTTGTCTAAAGAGGCAAGACATTTATATACTGACAGATCTGTAGTTACATGAGCATAGGCTAGCTCATCTTGTCAGCTACAAAATGAACACAAAAGTGCACGCTGTCCAGGGTGTTAGAGACTAGGACTGGTCCTGCCAGGTGGATCCCATGAAGGGTGAGTTAAATCTGGACTGCAGAAGATTGCTACCAGGGACTGCAGACCCTTCAAAGCAGAACAGATAAATGGACGGCAACCCTACTTCTGTACTCTGGTAAGGGTGTTAAAGCTAATGACAGGTAATTGCCTAAGGCTGCTGAACAAAATGAAGGAAAGAATGAAGATGAAGGATAAATACATGTTGTTCTTAGACCAGAGGCTCTTAACCCTGGCCACATGCTAGGATCACTGCAGAGCTCAAAATAAATGCTTAGGCTCAAGCCTTGAGAGTCTCTGGTTTAATTTTTGAGTGAGGCGCGGACTGTGGTTTGCTGTGGGGTTTTTTTGTTTGTTTTTTGTTTTTTTAAGCTCCAAAAATGTTTCTAAGATACAGCCAACATCAAAAACCATCAACAATAATGAAGGGCTAGGTGTCTTTCTGACTTAGGTAAAAACCAGAGAAGTGGAGAAAATGACTGTTTGTCCTAGGCCTTGAAGGCCAGAATTTCCCTACAGTGGCCTGAATAGATCATTCTAAAAACACACAAGGCAAGGACCAGGACTACTGCTTTGGAAGGGATTTGAAATAATCAGACCAAGTCAGAGAAGAGAGCCTGTGGCTGTTCTGGTTTGAATGAAATGGCCCCAAAGGCTCAAGGATTTGAATACTTGGTCACCAGGGAGTGGCACTATTTGAAAAGATTAGAAGGTGTAGCCTTGTTGGAGGAAGTGTCTATTCTCAGTGAATTTGCCCCTTTTTTAAAGACTGGTGGGGGGATATAGAGAAGTCAGTAACCTTCCTCCCGGAAGGACTAAGAATTGACCAAAGTTTGGCTGAGAGTAAAGAAGAGAATAGGGAGGGGGGAGGGGGAGGAGGGCAAGGGGAGGGGGAAGGAGAGGAGGTAAGCCGGAGGAAAGGGGGTAGGAAGACAGATGTGGAAATGGAAAGTGATACGTTCATCCGGGAGTACCCAGGCACACATGTGGGCTCTTCTAGGTCAAGGAATAACAGGTAATGAATCAAAGCCACAGATCACCTCTTGTTGTTGGGCATGTTCCTCAGGTCAACCCTGAGCCCCCTTTGCTGACATGTAGACATTTCCACTTCTTCCCTCACTCAGAACAGCCTTGTATCACAATAAAGTTTATAAACCACAGAAAGAGAGGATAAGGCAAAGGCACATCAGGGTCCAGTCCCCACAGGATGACTGAAGCACCTCCGACACATCCCTGAATTGGCCCTGTGCCTGTGCCACTCTGGTAACCATGGCAACTGCTTCCTTGATAATCAAGCTCCTGGGAAGTCCTTCGTATAGGGTTTCAGTGTGTGCATCCCCATGATTTTCACACCTCGCATATGACCAACTGAACAGTATCAGAGAGAACCAACAGACTGTCCCTGGGAACCTGAGATCATTCATCTTCTTCCATTTCTCCTTCTGATAACCTGCTTCCTAGTTCATGGTTTGGGGTTCATACCTACAACACCTGTCACCTCCTCTTTATATATTTAAACCGACTTTCATCTTCATATTTGGATGGGTCAAAGATTCTGAACAGCTCAAAGAGGTGTCCACCCAGGAAAACTCCACACCCAAAGGTTTTATGCTGTTTCCTTGTCAAATGAAAAAGCAAAGTGTTTACCTCTGATACTCTAGAGATCCATTTGGCAGACGTTACTCGACTCTTTAAGGCTTCTCTTATCTGGAAATTTAACAAAACGGGTTAATAATTAAACGTTTATAAGAAGTTAACAATGTGCTTGGAGCTGCCAAATGCCATGGTAAGGGAAACGGTGGCCGGCTGGGTCCTTTTGTTGGGGTCAGTAGCATATGGAGTGAATAGAGAAAATCAAGGTGATGAGGAGAGGCAGCTTCCGGAGCAGATGCATGTCCAGACTTAAACATGGATCCTGTGACTAAGAAGCAAGTTTGCACAAGCTTGTGGATTCTAATTACAGCTTTGGCATTACTTTGGAGCCCTTAAAGTAGTTAATCACATCTTACTTGAAATTATCCAAGTATTTTATAAAGGAGAAAAAAATAACTAAACAAGGTATCCAAGGTATTCTGGAACTAAGGAATTGATAATGATAGTGACAATGAGGATGACTTTAAAACTTTGCAGTGTCTTTCATATTTGTCATCCCATTTTTTGAAGAAAATAACCCTGAAAGATAGATATTATTGTCCCAATTACACATCTGGGTACACTAACACTCCAAAATTAAATAACATCCAAACACAGTCAGCTGAAAAGGTAAATATCTAAGTCCGGGGTTCATGTCTATTGACTGTAGATGGTCCTGCCTCCCTCCACAACCATGTCCTGTTTCCTTTCCTTCCTCCCTTCTGTCATGGAAAACCTAACTTTCCCAGGTCCTGCATACATTGTCTTCAATGTGAAAGTCCTCCGGCTCAGGGAGACTTCACCCCTCCCTGAAGACACAAAGTTAGCTGCAAGTTTGTAAGGGAGGGAGGTGCTCCTGGCTTCTTGCTGGGATGTTTGAAGCCATGCTGGCACTTCTACCCGCATTCCCTGCTCTGATCCTTTTTAAAATTCTATATTTCATAATTGCATCATAATCATTAACATATAATTGCAGAATATTCACATTAATGTAAGTGTCACTGAGAAGACATGCTCAGTTTTCAACTGAGCTTAGGATTTTCGAGACTCTTCCTCCTTTGCCTCTATTGGTCATGGCTGGTCCTGTGACACTTCCTGTATTTGCCTTTTACATTTTAATTTTAATGAAGAGATTCTGATCCTGACTGATCAGAGACTGCGTAGCTGGGAGGGAATTCTTTGTATCTAACTCTGGCACACAGAGCAAAGGTGCTGTTGTTATTTGACTCTGTGTATTAATTAATGTGTTAGTTACTAGACACACAGCCCTGACTATTATGACTATGGGTATCGCGAATGCTTCCTGCGTGTTTTCACTTATAAAGTTGCTTTACAGCTTCATTTTTTTATAACTGTGGAGCATAGCTAGCATAGATACTCCTTGTGAAAGGGGGTATTACATCAAAACAAGCCCATTGTGAGATAAAAATACCTTAAGTCAAAATTGCACTTGGTATACCTACCTACTGAACACCACAGCCATGTGACACCATGGAGTGCTGGCTGTCTACCATTGGAAGCTCATGGCTGACTCAGAGCTGTGCCTTGCTGCCACTGCCCAGTCTGATAATAGAGTACCATGATGCATGATGCTAGCCCCAGAAAAGAGCTCAGTCCAAGCGGTATTTCTCTTGAATCTGTACCATCTTGCTCAATGATAAACTCAATGGAATGTTGTAAGTCTGAGACTGCCTACACATAAAAATATTAAGTATAACTGTTTCACCTCTGAGTGACTTTTAGGTTGACATTGCATCTTGGTGGTGGTGGCACACACCTTTAATGCCAGCACTCAGGGGGCAGAGGCAAGTGGATCTCTGTGAGTTTGGGGCCAGGCTGGTCTACATAGTGAGTCCTAAGACAGGCTCCAAAGCTACAGAGAAACCCTGTCTTGGAAAAAAAATATATGTACATGCATACATGCATGCATACATACATACATACGTACAGTGAAGATGGGTGTTTTTCTTTCTTTCACTTTTTTTCACTTTTTTAAAGCTTTTTACTCTATGAATGTGGATTGTTTGCCCTGTTTGTCTCTGTACTATGTATATGCACTGCCCCTAGGGGCCAGAAGAGGGCATCAGATCCCCTGTAACTCGAGTGACTGATGTGTGAGCACTGAGTGCTGGGAACTGAACCCCTTGGTGTCCCTCACTGAGCAGTTCTGTGAGGCATTGGGGCTATTCCTGGCATACAACCTTCCCAAGAGACATCCTCCCACTGTGAGATTTAACTGAAAAATTCCATTTCTGCCATAAGAAATCAGAGAGGGATCTTGAGCAAGCTGTTTCTTCACCCTGAGTCTCTCTTTTCTCATCTGTAAGACACAGAATAGAAATCTCCTTGATTGTTGTGAGGCTTAGAGCTAAAGTACATAAAATGTGTATTCTCAAAAGAGCTTGAAGGATGATGAAAAGAACCCTGCATTAAAAGAACCCTAGTGGGGTTGGGGAGATGGCTCACTGGTTAAAAGTACTGGCTGCTCCCAGCTGAACCAATATGGCAGCCCACAATCTTTTGAAATTCAAGTTCCAGGTGATCCAACACCTTCTTCTGGGCTCTGCAGGCACTACCACACTTGGTGCACAGACATCATTTCACGCAAACATTCATAAAGATAAATAAAAGCTCAAAACCTTTTATTTAAAAAGGAAGACTGACGCTCTGTTTCAGGGAACATCACAATTGACTGAGGTCCAAGTTCAATAATTGTTCTTCCCAAGTGAACATTTCAGGTCAAGTAAACAACAGAGGAAAACCAAGAATGTATGCATACAATACCTTTGGATCCAGGACTGTTCCAAACACCAGGATGAAGAAGCCCTGTGAAAGATGGAGAGAGAAGACCCACTTACAATGACAGGAAGAGTAACAATTGTGGCGTTCATGGCTACCATTCTGACCACTACCATTCTTCTCATCCCTAGTCTAAGGCCGCAATACCTACTCATCTGTTCAACAGATGTTGTCTAAAACAACAACAACAAACCTGTTAGTCAACAAAGAGTTCTGGCCACTGTTCTGCCCCCTGCTTTACGAAGGACATCTTATAAACTTCAGACTGAGTGGCATGAAAATGCTTTCCACTAATCAGGAACTGTTCCCCTCAGGATATAATGATTCAGCATAGAGAAGATGCCAGACAGTGCAGGCTTGCAGGCTCTGAACAATAATTAATAAAACACACGTTCACAGCACAAAGAAAAGCGTCTCATCATTCATGCAGAGGAAGATCCCATCAGGGAAAGGAAAATGGTCCTCCACGGCTACAATCCATTTGAGGTTTTGTTTTTATATTTTTGCTTTTCCACTAGCAACAACATAAAACCTCCCCAGAGGAAGGAATTTCAGGGAACAGCCCCATTCTTCTTATGAGGAAAAAGAAATTCAGAAACACAAATTTTAGAATGCTGTAGACAGCAACATCCCTTAGACACACTTCTTGGATGCTGAATGTCTTGGGTGGTGGATGGAAAGGAAAAGTGGGAAGGTAACTGTCCCTGTGGGCACTCCATTGCTAAATTGTCTCCAAACTGAATGTGAGCCCAGGCAGATGAACGCACCTGGCACCCAAAAGCTGCTACAGCCAATTGTTCGGCTACCTCAGTTTTGATGAAAACAGAGCTGACAGAGGAAGATGGCAGAAACCAGTGTGAAGCCAGGCAGTTCACTCCTTCCTCTAATGTATACTCGAATGTACTTTACCATATGAACAGTCCATAAATACCCAAGTTTGGTCCTCATGGAGATTTTATCAAACCATATGTTTGTGTGAACTCTTCTTTTAGAAATGGCTCGCAATTATTTAATTTTACTCATTATTGATGCATGTATAGTTTATGTACATGTTACTGTAGGTGGATGGGTGGATGGGTGCCATGGCACACATGTGTAAGTTAGACAGTTGCTTTCAGGGATCAGTTTTGGCCATCCACACTGTTGGGTCAGGGTCTCTCTTATTTCCATCATGCTGCATATGCTGTACTAACTGGTCCATGAGCTTCAGGCCAATCTCTGGTCTTGATTTCCCATGTTCTGGGAGGAGTTATGCGTAACAGATGCTCAGCATTGTACCTGGCTCTTTACGTGTGTTTCAAAGATGGAACTCAAATTGTCCAGCTTGCTCATCAAGCACTTTTACCTACTAAGTCATCTCACTGGCTCCCACTCTTACGCCTACAACTACCATTAACTCTAGTGTGAAAATGTCATGGGGACATGAACCATTAGTTTACAAAGCATTATTCTTATAAATATTCTCAGAACAGACAAACACCAGACTGTTTGAGTACTAGGGGTGCATTTGAAAATCACAATATTAGTGAAATTGGCCCAGGAACTTTTCTTTTAATTTAGTGTAGGGGTCTGAAGGGGAGTGGTTCCCAAAGTCTTATAGGTTTGAATGCTCAGTATTACTTTTCAGAAAGGGTTAGGAAGTGTAGCTTTGTTAGAAGGGGTGTGTCCTTGGGAGTGGGCTTGGAGGTTTCAAAAAGCCATGCCAGACTCAATTTCTCTGTCCCTTCATGCAACCTGCAGATAAGGATGTAAAGTTCTCAGCTGCTGCTCCAGCTCCATGCCTGTCTGCTTCCTGCCATGAAGACCAGGGACTAATCCTCTACAACTGTAAGCAAGCCCCCAGGCAAATGCTTTCTTTCAACAGTTGTGCTGGTCATAGTGTCTCCTCACCAATACTAGAACGGTAACTACAACATCTAAAAAAAACCACGTTGTAGAATATTTTCTCTACACAGACTTGCAGGGTTTTGTTTTTGTTTTGTTTTCTGTTTTGGTTTTGGCTGCAGGACTAAAAAGACTGTCTTTTCTCATAAGAGTTTTAATTCCTTGGGAGTTGTTTTTATATATTTGTATATTCAGTCTTTAAAATAATGACTGGCACCAGGCATAGTGGCACATAGGTCTAATCCCAACACTCAGAAGACAGGGGCAGTTGGGTCTCTGTGAGTTCAAGGCCAGCCTGGGTTACATGTTGATTTCCAGGACAGTTAGGACTACGTAGGGATAATCTATCTCAAAAAAACAAATTATAATAATAAACACAAACCAATGTGTGCTGATTCTGTATTCACATGTGCATATATTTAATGATGTCTTGTGGTTTCTTATATGGAGGGGCTTTGGACATGCCAGGCATGTACTCCACCACTAACCTATATCCCCAGCCTAATAACTTTATTTCCCACCCTGAGTCATACAGGCACAAATATGAAATATTAAAGTATTCCATTAAAATAGCTTTTCATTGGTTTGTGTCACCTTGTAGGAAGTTTATTCATATGGTTTAATATCTAACAGAGGAAAGATGGAAGAATAAATCTTTTTTAAAAAATCAGCAGGGGTAGATTTCCCCCAATTCTCTTGGGTATAAAGTACAATGTAAGCAGGTAAGACCGAACTCTTCTCCCAAGTTTTAGTCTACAATGCTTTATTCTCCTACTAAAATATCTTTGGGAGATGAGAGTGTCCCAAAATCCCACCCAGCCCACAGTAGTTCTCAGAGAAGACAGGAAAGAGACAGCAGCTCCCATGACACCCAAGGCAGCCACTGTCTCCACACTGATAACTTCCACAGTGAAGGGGCTGGCTAGGCTCCCCATCAGCAGAGATATTTCTGTAAGACTAGAATCAGAAAAGCTTTAGAAGGACTTGCCTCATGCATCTTCCACCCTCCCAGACAGTTTCAGAACCCCTCTTTCGCTCCCTCAGCCTCAGCTGTCCCTCACACCTTCTCACCCTCAGCCCCGCCTCTGCTGTTGACTGAATCTGACCTCAGAGGAACCATGGCTCTGCTCCCTCTCCTTCCTCGCTGAGCATCTCAAAGATGCCCTGATACAAAGATAGGCAAGACGTGTATCAAATCAGACAAAGAAAGAAGTTTGGGGAACCATGACTGCTGTTTTCAGTCTAACCCATGTCCCTGTCTGTGTTACTGAGTTTCACTGATGGCTGTGTCTGTAACCAGCTCACAAAATTTCTAAGTCCGTTTCCATGAGCCTTCTCCAATGATAGTGTCCAGCCCTCATCCACACTGGTTGGCAACTGCCAACTACCTCAGAGGTCCTGGCATCTCAATGACTCCACCCTTCTCCTTGCCAGGAAAATGACTTGAGTTTCAAGTTGATCCTTTTACAAGTAAAAGTGGCCACAGTATCAAAACTCAAGTGCTCACAGTCCAACCCAAAACAAGAGCCACAAGTCGGGTAGCCCGAGGGGAACAAGGAAAGTCACTGCTGTGAAGTGAGACAGGTGTTTATTAAGGGTTTATGAAGAATAGCCTGGAGATTCACTGAGCTGAAGGTTAGAAACCCTGGGGTCTTCCCTCAGTCCCATGGATGACTAGCTTTTTAAAGATGTATAATGAGTTGATAATTACTAACATCAGTATAAATCTAGACTGTAATAACACCTTCTATAGCCAAGATTTAAAATGTTACACATGCTCTACTACTGTTAACAGTGTTCCCCAAGGCATCAAAATGTTTACTGTATAAAGTGAATCATTTCTGTTCACATTTTGAAATAGAAAAATGAGTAGATACTTGAAGTCTCTGTTACCAACTGGGTAAAATACATATTTGAAAATACTTTTACTGGCTACTCCACACACTCAAAAAATGTATAGTTCTTTAGAAAACTAGAAGCTTCTTTTTAATTAATTGCAATCTTCATATTTAATGTATGTAATTTTAATCAAGAAGGAAAATATTAAATACAAAATTTTATCTAGACATTAAATAGACATATACACTAGATCAGTGGAAGACTAAGATATAATTTTAAGTGAGAAGGAAAGTTCTATAATAGCTATGATGTCATTCAGTGGGTAGAACACAGTCTATAAAACCCTGAGTTTAACCTCCAACACCATCTAAAATGGAATGTTGGAGGCATGCATGCCTAACAGATACACAATAATATAAATAAGTTTTCAATTTTTATATTAAGTATATATTTGATAAGCATACAGAAAGAAGTTGGCAATGATACACGTGAAACCATGAGCATCACTTAATCCATACAAGCATGAGAAGGGTGAAAAGAAATCACCTCTAAAGCCTCTAGTATAACTTGCCTTGTTCAAATAAGATGCCATAGATGGCTGTCTAAAACCTCGAAGTAGCAGAAAATACAAGTGTAAAAGATGTAATACCTCCAGACCAAATTTTAGAAGAGGTGATTGCTTGCTTGCTTTCTAAATAGTAACAACTCAGGGATAGCCATATAGCTCAGTAGGTAGAGTATTTGCCTAGCATTCGTGAAGCCCTGGGTTCAATGTTCAGAACCCCATAAACGGTGTATGGTGGTGCACACCTCTAATCCCAGCACCTGGGAGATGGAGGCAGGAAGACCAGAAGTTTAAGATCATAGTGAGTTCAAAGCCAGCTTGGGATTACATAAGACACATTTCAAAAAGACAAGGAAAAAATGTGAAAACCTTGGCACACTAACAGGCATTTATGGTCTTTAGTACCTGGTTTTAGTAATTGAGCTTGTGGCTTTCAAATTCATATTTATTTCATTTTCTGAGCACCTCCAGGAAATGGCAGCATTATACACTCTTTTTGTACCAGAAAAACATGCTTGCAAAAACTAGACATGCAAAGATCATGCTACATTATTCTTAACAAATAAGAGTAGAATTCAAGCCCGGGTCCTTATGAAAAACAAAAAAATGTATCTCCATTTCACTGCCTTCTGCATGAAACACAGTGCCCTGGGCTCCTAGTCACAAAACAGGGGCACATACCCTCCTACTTCCGATTCCACCCCGGCATCCGGACTTACCTGCAATGCATTGAGTGAGGAGAAGATAATGTGGAAGGCCAGGGAGCGAGCATCGACGACCATGGCTATTCCAAATCCCCATGTCAGCCCCAGCAGTGGTGTGAGGATGGCAATGTTCTTACAGATCCTCACGATGGCTCTTACTTCCTGGAACATGGAACTACCGATGGCAGCTCTCTGGGTTTTGATGATAACCAATGTAACTGTAATCAGGTTTACTGCTACAATGGCCAGAGCTGGGACCACAAAGGCCAGGAGAGCCTTGGTTGTGTCCCAGTTAAGCCAGCAGGCCTCAGGCCGCAGGTAACCTTTCCCGGGCTCTGTAACAGCAAGTGTTATAACAGCAATCACCAAAGGGCACCCATAGCCCACGGAAAACAGAGAGGCCACCAGGAATGACTTGGGCAGTGTATGGAACACGATCAGAATTCCGTAGAGGATAAGGAGAGCCTTGGCAAGCATCCAGAAGAACACAGCCAGATAAAAGAAATGAACGAAAAATGTTGCAGCCACACAGCCACTGTGATGGGATACCGGGCCACCGAGAAAAGAGGCCACAATGAACCACACGTCAGCCATCAGCAGGGTGGCCGCGATGTTAGCAATGCACAGGTGACGCAAATATGAAATCTCTGTCTTTGTCACTTGACTCCAGACTAAGGCCTCAATGAACAGGCAGATAACCAAGCTGCAGATGGAAATGCCCAGGCCTACATATGTGATGTAGACTAGAACCGGGCTCTCCAAGGCGTGAGGCGACATGAGAATGGAAAAAGAGGTAAATGACTTGTCGGGCCAGCATCTGCAAACAGCTTGATGGGAGTTTTCTTGAATCAGCCTACAAGCTCTCTTGTCCCACCTTCTCTCCAGGGAGTGCCAGCCCACACACTGGGACTTCCTTCCTTCAGCCTTGCTGATCTTTTCAAACATCAGTGAGACTTTTTTAAGCTCCTTAGGCAAGATGACAGACAGGACGAGCCCATTTACGGTCACATTTTCCAAAAGACTGGCTTCCAGGATGGCCCCAAGAGTTGGAAACGCAATGCTGATGACCCGGGAAGGAGAAGGAACCTTCTGAAACTCCTCGGTCGTGAGCAGTACCCTCCCAGTGACTTCATCACTGGTGTCATTAATTCGCATTGAGAAAGTGAAATTCTTCCCAAGGCTGTCCCTGGACATGACGGTACCCATGGTATGAATGAAGACATGTGATATGTTGATGAGGTGTTCCTTCACAAACAGCTTGCTTGCAAATGAATTGATTGATTGAAGCAAGACACAGCTGCTGTTTCTGTCTTGGATGAAGGTCCAATTTGATATGCTTTTGCTGTTAAGGATATGGTTAGCCATGGCACTGTAACTCTGTCAAAGAAGAGCTGGCATTAGTAGTGATCCACTCCTTGAAACCCCCAATGCATATAAGGCTTGCTCTTACAAGGTGTGGTCTTCTAGCCAGCAGCATAGGCACTTCCGGAGACCTCCTTAGAAATGCTGAATCTCACACCCCATTCCAATCTCAATGGGTCATATTCAGGGTCTTAAATAAAACTCTGGGTGACTTGCTTGCACAGTAAAACTTAAGTTTACTTGCAGCCATGTCCAACCTGTAGCCCACACACTGCATGCATCCCATAATATGTAATAACACAGCCCAACACATTTATAGATGACAGTACCATATCATAATGTCAGAAGGTTGGACAGGGCTCAGAAACAGCTCAGTCACTAATGTGCTTGCCATGCAAGCATGAGGACCCAAGTTCAGATTCCCAGCACCCATAGTGAAGATGGACACTATGGTACATTTATAATGCCAGCACTATGGAGGCAGAGACAGGTTTGCCCAGAGCTCATTTGGCTAGTCGATATATCTAAATCATTGATCTCCAAGATTAGCAAGAGACTTTTTCTCAAAAAACTAAGATGGAAAGAAATTGAAAAATACATTTGACATCGCCCTCTGACCTCAACACATGAATGAATACTTGTACACACATGAGCACACACCTATACATGCACACACACACACACACATGCCCACACACACACACAAACACACACACTATCTGTAAAGGAATTCCTTGCTTTGTTCCCATCTTATTTGCCCAGTGCCTTCCTGTGAGACCTGCAGGTATGCAGCTTGTACATGCCCGTATCTACCATTAGTTCCACTGCACACCTGGACAAAACCCATCATTCAATTGCCCTTTCAGAGTACCCATAATGCAGCTGGCATCTGTTAGTCCCAGCCATGTTACAGGATCCTATACAGAAATATGCTGACAACTGGAACTTGACCACAGAGGTTGAATCACTCTCCACTACTTTCTACTGTAAGTTTCAAAATCATGGAGAAATGAATCCAATTCCTGTTCACACTTCTGTAGTTCACAGGTTTGGCCATTTGTTTTGTTTCCTGTTTTAGCGACTTGTTCTAATTCACAAATGAACATAGGTCTTCCTTTGCTCATGACCCACAATGTTTCTTCAGTAATTTCAGTAGTTTAAATGTGCTTTAGGAAAGCAGACTCTCTCTGGTCCCCAACAGACTCATAACCACACAGGCCCAACTCCTCAAAGACCCAGACCTTTAAAGAGCCAGGCAATCACAGAATCAACCTCTCACAGATTATACCCCTCATAGAATCACCCTTCAAAGGCCCAACCTCTCATGGACTCAGCCCCTCCCAGACTCAACCCATCATAGACCAGACCCCAGGAAAATATAAAAAAAGACTGAGATGCCTACTACAGAACCAAGAAAACTCTCTCTACTGATGCATCTTGACCTGGTGGTGTGAATTTTATTCTTTTGTTTACTATTCTTCCTACTTTAACATTCACTAAGCCCTTGTTATATGGGACACTGTCCAACCTTAACCCACACACTGCATGCATGAGAAAGGAAATGTGGTTGGCAATCCCTGGGGAGCTCAGAAGGTATTCCAACTAACCTAAGCCCCTCCCCCAAAGAAAGAATGCTGTCTGATCCCCAAAGCCACTCACCTGCATCTTTTCTTCATTGACCTCTCTGGTTAGAGCTGTTGAGATGTTGCGTAAGAGCTGTACTACAACAGCAATGTTCCCTGGCATGCGGGGAGACTTCTGAATGCTTCTGATGATGCAAGACAAGTCCTTTGGACACTTCTCCATCAACATATCTGCTATGGTCTGAGGATGTCTATGATACTCATGAAGAACCATAGTTGGTTCCGAAGGTTGAACTGAATATAATTCCACATCCTCCTGAAACAGGACCAAAGTAAAGAAATCCTTTATTTGTTTGTGTTAACTACAAAGGTACTTTTGTTAGAACTTAGAAGAGCCCTATTTTACAATTGTATATTACATAATACGCTTTCATGTTCCATTTTCAAAGTGGCATGTAGGGCGGAATAGCTTGACCAATACTAAGATGTATAAAACCAAATATAAGTCTGAATTTCCCAACTGATGGCTCTGTAGCCATTTTCTGAAACAGCAACTGTTTTCTTTAACACATCACTTCAGAAATTTATATCTTGTATATTTATATGGATTATTAATGCCATTTAACTTATTTTTACATTCTCAAGAGGTGAACCAACAGACACCGTTTAAAAAAATATCAGGAGACGGGTGGTGGTGATGCACACCTTTAATCCCAGCACTCGGGAGACAGAGGCTGGCGGATCTCTGTGAGTTCGAGGCCGGGCTGGACTGACAGCCTCCAAAACAACACAGAGAAACCCTGTCTCATAAAACCAAAAAATTAAAAAAATAAAAGTAAAAACAGCAGGATCTGGAAAGATGGCTCAGCAGTTAAGAGTGGGTACCATTCTTTCAGAGATTCAGTTCCTAGATCTGAATTAGGTGGCTCACAGCTGCCTACAACTCCAACTCCAAGAAACCTAAGGCCTTTGCAGATACCCACATCTTATGAAGATTCTGATGGAACTACAGCTTCCCACCTAGCAAAATCTGAGGTGCCGCCCAAATTTCACAAGTTTGGGGGGATATTACTAGTCAGCGAAGTACATTATGAGCATCAAAGCTTTGGGTTATTTTAAGGGCTGAAGGTAAAAATGGAGAACTTGACTGTGGCAACTCTAGGTGCCTCTTCTTCTTCTGAAAAAATGACCAGGGTCCTTCATGTCATGCAGGGGGCAGGATACACTACACAACATTCAGACACACAAAGCAAAGAGAGAAGAGATAGGTAGGTATTTATGTATTCGTAGACAAACAACGTATTGCTACCATGGAAGCCTGTCTTTCCCCCTAAGTGGGAAATGCAATCATCTGAAACTCCACTTCACTCATAGAGCTCTTGTGAGAGTCCATGATGCAGAAGAAAGGACATTACCTCGAAGATGCTGAAGGCATTAAGTGTGTGGCAGGTTTCTGTGACCTTGTGCCATTTCTTGGCCTTACAGGCAAATTTCATGTTGCCCTCACTTTTTGGAGGGCAAGATTGAAAGCAGGGGGCAGCATTGTCATTACAGACACCATCGCATACATCTGGGGAAATAAAAGTTATCCATATCAGATAGAAAGGTCTGAGCATGTGGCTGCTCAGCCAGTCAGTAAGGTGTCACTGCGGCGAAGGCTTATCAATTCTGTAGACATGAGTTTCTTTTCTCAGTCAAATTGAAGGTGATTGAAAATGGGTTAGCAGTCGTAACATAGTTCTGTAACTGCGTCCTTCTGACAGAACCACACACCAAATTCCAGTGTGCAAAACTGACCCAAGTATAAACTTCTCCCATTAAATAGGAGGGAAGAACCCATGGGTTACCATACTGAGTCACCCTCCCATGCCCACAGAGCCCCCTCAAAGACCTCCTCAGTGTCCTAGAGGTACCCAGGTGAGCTCTAGTTTGGAATCCACTCCCTTCGATGTTCTCAAAGAAGCTCCCTTGTCCAGAGCTTTGCAGCAAGCTCCATGATCAATGAGACCCATTCAAGTCACTGACCTGGTTTGAATTAGCTCAATGAGAATTCACAAAGTGGAGCAGAGGATGCTGGGAAGATATGAATATGGCTGGGGCTCAAGACACAATGGATGTGCAGGTAAATAAAGTATAAATGTAATCTATCAAGGTGTCTCATCTCTCATGCCATGAGCCAGAGAGCTGAGAACTGTCTTCTGTCACAACAAATGATTGGTAGCTGCTGTCAACATACCATGTGGTCTGGACATCACCATCTCCTTGCTTTTGCTGGTAGCCTGAAAGGAGAAAATCAAAATTTTCAGCAAAATCAAATGTCAACAGGTGATACCACTGGTCCATCTTAATCACAGACAATCATATCCAAATCAGCCATGATGCAAACACAGCCACTGAAAGCACAGCTGTTGCATATAGCTCAGAGACACATCCTTCAACTTTTCTCCCCAGTGCCAGGCATTAGGACTCTCCTCTCTTCCCAGTCATCATTCTGTATCATTACAGTTTATAGTCTGCACATAAATTACATTCTGGGCAGAGGGAAGTTTACTAGGAAGTTCATGAAGACTTACTTCTCTTGTATGGGCACCACTGAATTCTGGGAGAAGGTCAAGCCTCGAGATCACACGTTCACATGATCATATTTATCATATTTTCAAAGACAAAATATTCCAACTGCTTTCATCTATTGAGATTATCATTTTGTCACTCTATCTCACCTCTTCCTCTTCACACTCTTCCCTATTTGGGGAATCACTAAAGTGGAGCATTTATTAAAGAAATCCAGACAAGGAGCTGAGTCAGGAATGCCTTTCATTGGATTTAATGGGTATATTTATATAGTCTGCAGTCACTTCTAAATTACAAGAAGATCAACCCTTAAGTGTTATTGACTCAAAAAATATTTACAGGTAGCCACAGAACAACACAACAACAAATGTTGAGTGTCCTGACATCTGACAGCTCTTTGGAAAGAAACTTGAAGTTTTCCCAATTTTTATAGCAATACTACATATTTATGTAAAACTGCCAATAGTAAGTGGGAAAGCTAAACAGTGTTATTCCAAACTACCAACGATAAGAAAAGTGTAGGGCAATGCGAAGGGAAAGAATGGGAGGCTGGAGGGATGGCTCAGCAGTTAATTAAGAGCACCGGCTGTTCTTCCAAAGGACCAGGGACCAACTCCCAGGACCCACACGGGAGCTCACAGTCTTCTGTAACTACAGCTCCAGGGCTTCCTAGGGAACCAGGCACACATGTGGTGAATAGATATACACACAGACAAAATATCCATGTACGTAAAATGAATGTTTAAAAAATTTGAAAATGAAAGATGGACCTTTTCATCCTCTACATAGAGAAATTATAAACTCGTTAGTAAGCAAAATGTAAGAAAATACAAGTACAGCTCATAAATTATCGCCAATATTATTTTTGCTGAAAGTATGACTGAGTATTGTTGAGAAATTACTGGATAAAAATCCTTTAAGCAATTATATTTGAAATTTATTTTGATTCTAAGAAAACGCTCAGCCAGGCGTTGGTGGCACATGCCTTTAATCCCAGCACTAGGGAGGCAGAGGCAGGTGGATCTCTGTGAGTTCAAGACAAGTCTGGTCTACCGAGCAAGTTCCAGGACAGGCTCCAAAACAATACAAAGAAACCCTGCCTCGAAAAACCAAAAAAAAAAAAAAGAAAGAAAGAAAAAGAAAAAGAAAAACTCACTTTAATTTTGTATTTTATGTTATTCTTTAAGGGAGTTCCCCCATCCCACCTACCCATGGTTATCTGTCTAGGAAAAGTCCACCAGCCCACCTGGGCTGAAATCCTGACACTGTCCCTTAAGCGGGAATGTTCAACTGTCTGTGCCTCCGCTCCCCCACCTGTAAACAAAGCAGGCATTACTGCTTTTATGGGGAATAAAAGAGTTAACACATGAGAAACCCTTAGGCCAGCCCTTGAAAGTGTAAAATCTGTTTATGGTTTAATCGCTGTTATTATCCTGATACTGAATAGTAATTACATCGAGCTCATGTTTTGTCCTTCCAAGCAATCTTTTCTGATGGATGCTCACTCTGCTATCTGCCTCCACTCACCTGCCTGCTACTGCAGTAATCGTTTTCATGTTACCTTCTCAATTAAAATTTAAGTTCCTGGCCGGGCGTTGGTGGCGCACACCTTTAATCCCAGCACTCAGGAGGCAGAGGCAGGCGGATCTCTGTGAGTTCGAGGCCGGGCTGGACCGACAGCCTCCAAAACAATACTGAGAAACCCTGTCTCGTAAAAAAAAAAAAAAAAAAAAAAAAAAATTAAGTTCCTTAAAAACATGATTATGTATTGTCTTCCGTTAACTCCCTATGTAACTAATTCAAGGTCTTGTACATATGTACATTTGTGTAATAACACATTGGTATGCATGTGTATATTCACAAATACAGGCATATGTATGTTACCATGTGTACAGGAAAAGAGGCAAACTCAATCTTCCTGCTTCTGCACAAAATAAGTGCCCTCTAGTGGCTAGGAAGAGCATTATCCATGGCTCCAACTTTCATTCCAAGAATTTAGCTATTGAGGAAGAAATAAAATTTCTGGACATTGTTGCTTGGCTGACACATAATATTCATTTTATTTTCTTATTAACAATATTATTTTCTCTAAGTTATCAAAAACAATAATGAATGTTCCCTGGTTTTCCTATCAAATAAAACTATGGAGAATCTGAATTGAGTATTTGAGGTCTCTCCATAGCTGAGAAGGTGTTTCTGAGGAAATTCATGATACAGAATACCCTTGGACTGGCCAGTGTATGCTGGCCTCTCATTGTTATTCATGGGAACAAATCCCTAGTGTTTCCGTCAAAAAAGCTGCATTGCTTCCACTAAACTAGGAGGCTACAATAATATTTCTAGAGATCTTGTAGAGTGTGTAGACAGATAGTCCATCCAATCTCCTTATTTGACAAATAAGAATGCAGAGACTGTCAGATGAGGTGACCTGACGAAGGCCAAGCAGGGAACTCCTCTTATCCCTGAGATTAGACTTTGTTCTCCTAATTCCTTCAGCACCGCTCTTTCCAAAGGTCTGACAACGACAGATGAGTAAGCAGAGGGAATTATGGAAGGAAGTGGAAGCCTCTCGAGTCACCCAAAACCCACAGCCATGACTTGCAATGTACCGAAGTCAACAGCTGCGGAGGATCCCTAGTCACTAAACACACTCCAGAGAAGGTGCCATTGACTAACTGGGTGTGTGGGCAGGACATGGGGCGCTGCTGACAAGATGTTCTGGAAAGTCTACCTTCTTACATCAAAGACCTGATTTGCCTCATCCCAGTTAGTATTCTCAGGTACGTCATGCCTGATTTCTCTTCTCAGTTCACATCCAGGTAGCATCCAAGGTGGGTGACTTCAGCTTCAACTGTTAACACTCCTCAACCTCATCTTAGACAAAAAGGCAGATGCTAACCTGCAACCCACTTAAACTGCAGAGCTTCCCAGCGCATGGGTCAGTGAGGGGAGGACCAGCACCCGACAGGTTGAGAACCAGAAACTCAAACAATGGGAAGAAAAGATAGGCTGTCCCTGGTAGGGTGAGCCCCACCAACAATAATAATAACTCTTTTCCGTGTTCTGTATTCACTGAAAATTGTAGAGGAGAAAACGAAACACAGTAGCAAGCTGCGGGCATCAGAATGCCCCCAGAGAAACGTCTTCCCGGAGCATCTGTAATTTCTCTCAGAAACCAGATTTCAGTTCAACAGCGTGGTGAAGGAGAGTTACAAAGAAGGTCAAACTAATTAGATGGTGAATGTTGTTTGGGAAACTTGTGACAAGAACTTCCAAAATCGTTCTCTCCTAAGGAGGCTCCTGTTCATCTTTTCTCAGTGAAGCATGTCCTTCAACACCCAGTCTCTCTCTGTAAAGTAAGGATGAGAGCTTTGCCAGTCAGTCCCAAGGCAACCTTCTAGGTCTCATGGTCAAATAACAGTTCTTTTTCCCCAAAATTCTCAAAATATTTTAAAATCATCTCTTTCCCAGTATTCCCTCACACTCTATTTTTTAAAGTACATTTAAACAATGGAGTACTACTCAGAGGTAACACAAAACAAACCAAACAAAAAACCAAAACAGTGATATCTTGAAATTTGCAGGCAAATGAATGGACCCAGAAAAAGTCATCCTGAGCAAGGTAACCCGGAGTCAGAAAGACAAATATAATATGAACTCACTCATAAGTGAATATTAGACATAGAGCAAAAGACAACCCGCCTACAGGCCACAACCCCAGAAACCCATGGTGACAAAGAGGACCCTAAGGGAGCATACATGGATCCCCCAAGGAAGGTGAAAAAACAAAATTTACATGGGGGATAGTGGATAGTATGGAAGGGGAGAGGAGAGGAGGAGCGGGGAAATGTACAGCCCAGTAAAAAAAAAACAAATAAATCACAGTGAAATTAAAGTATGGTATGAGGCAAAACACACCACAAAGACCCCTACAAAAGTTAAAGGAGTAATTTGCTAGAAACTCCACCCCTGTTCTTCCACCAAGATTCTGAAAGGAAACACTATCACTGCTTTGAGTGGGTTGATGCCTCGTTGTGCCAAATCATTTTGAGGTCCTGTCCTCTAAATGTCTCTAGTGTCCCCTACTCACCGAGGCAACCTTCCCTACCTCTACTGCTCAAGGCCCTCAGGAAGCAGCAGCGACCTAGATATGAATTGAAAGAGTCGCTACCAATATGGGGAGTGAGGCTTTGCTGGACTTCAGAACTGATTGGGGGAATTAATGTGAGACAATTTCATAGCCAAGTGGCCTTTTCTGTCACCTGTCATGGTCATTTCCTCAGGTTGTGCTGGTCCACATCATCACCACATTCCCCTTATACTTCAGCTCTCAGCAAACAGAGCTGGTGAGTGAAGAGTTCTTTGTCCATTTGTTATCTCCTCCAACTCACCACCCACTCTTCCCCCGTTTTTACCTGGCATAATATCCTGCAGGATTCTATAGGCAGAAGAAGCACCAAGCTGTACAACCAAAGGGCGGGGACCATTGTCTTCCACACGGCTGATTTTCTTGCTTCTGTGAAAATAAATGCAAGAGGTCCCCAATGTGAAGCTTTTGTAGCGCTATGCCTCTGCAGGCACAGCGCACCTAAGAGACCTGACTCTGTCTTAGGTGCTGTCCAGATAACTCTCTGACCAGCAGTGGTGACCGTGTGCCCTACCACAATCATCACCAGGAGGCTGCGGGTGGAGGCACCGGACCTGTTTGATGTTGATTTGCATGGCACACCTCACATGGGAATCCCTCTTAACAAAGATGCTTGGTGGATTTCACCTGGCCTACTGGCTATAACAAATAACAGCCTGTATTCCAGCAGTGGGAATGACAGCTCACTCTCTGGGTTAGACGGGGCTGAGAACTGTGTAGGTGGCCACAGAAGATGAGCAGGGATTCTTGTGAATAAGCATGGCCTAGAAATACCTTTGAAGAATAAGTCGTAGGCTTATCCTATTATCTCTCTCCACCTCAACATGAGAGGTGTGTCTCCCTTTATAAGCAGGAGCTTCTGCATTTGATATGAACTTGTTATGTCTAACGGAAACTATGACAAAACTAAAGCGATTGTTTGCCATCTCCAACAATGTTAGCATGTGATGGGCATACAATACACTCAGTAACGCACTGACTAGAAGAAGAGAAATGGACGAAGAGGGCAGGAAGAGAGCAAAGAAAGACGGAAATGTGGGGGGAAGAGCTGACAAAACGCATAAGGGACACAAAGGATTGAATAGGATTCATCTGAGAATATTAACATTAAATCTTACTGTTTTCATCCTGAGTGAGATAGTAATTGAAAGATGCTAGTTGTCTGCACTCCTAGATAAAAGGATTTGCATAATCAGAATTTGTTGTATGCAAGAATGAAACCTGCATGATAAATCTATTATTCTGCATAATTAATACATGTCTATATAAAGCTTTTAAAAACTAAGATTCAACATGTACCAAAAACCATCTGCCCCTCCCATAATGATAGACAGCTAGTTGATAGATTGATAGGTAAATGATAGATAGATAGATAGATAGATAGATAGATAGATAGATAATTGGTAAAATAAAATTCAGAAGACTTGGCTGTTATTGAAAAGCCCAGGGTGTATCATAATGGTTGATTTTTTTTGTTACTTGACCATTTTTAGTCAAAAAGTATTCTTCCACCCAATCATCATCATATATAATAATGTCATTACTTAAATGATGAAATTATATTCATGTTTAAATTCCATTAAAAATCCAACAATTGTGCAAAATATTTGCAGTACATCTTCCAGCATTCTGTTAGTACATTCATGGCTCTCACACAAAAGGACAAACATGCTGCTCATAGTGATGCAAAAGAGCACGTAATTCCCAATAAACTCACAGCCACTTTCACATCTTTCATTTCATCCTAAGTCACTCAAACAGATAATGACTCCCTGTGAAAAGCACTCTAGTGATCTGTCAGACCATCACCAAGGCCATCACTACTTTGAGCACACTTAGTGTAACAGAAATACTAAAGCCGTGGATGAACTTGTTGCCATAGTTCTGAGAAAACCTAAAAAGAAAGCTAAATACTTCTGAATTAACTTTCTCTTTAAATTTTGTCATCATTCTGGGACACAGCATAGTGGTAACATATTTGCAAGGCTGTAAGTTCAGTCTCTAGCATCTCTCTCTCTCTCTCTCTCTCTCTCTCTCACACACACACACACACACACACACACACACACACACCAATAACAACAACAACTACTACTCCATCCAAACAGAAATCCCTTAAGAAACTGAGAGATGGCTAAATCAGTAAGATGTCTGCTGTGCATGCATGAAGAGCTGAGTTCAATTTTCAGCACCCAGATAAAAACCAAGAGTAGCTGCAGGTACCTATAATGCCAACACTGGGGAAGCAAAGAGAGAAAGGTCCTTGGGGTTCATTGGCCAGTCCAACAAAGAAAATTGTCAAGTTCCAGATTGAGTAAGAGATCTCAAAATAATAAAGTAGAGGGACTGAAGAGATGGCTCAGACATTAAGAGCACTTGATGCTCTTCCAGAGGATGGGAGTTGGGTTCCCAGTACCCAGACTGTGACCCCAGCTCCAGAGCATGGCAGCCATATACACTTCCATACACATACACACACTAAATAACAACAACAACAGCAATAACATAACAACAATAATAATAATGTAGAGAGCAACTGAGGAAGACACTTGATTTTGATCTCTGGCCTCCACATACATGCTCACATGTACACAAACAGATCTGCACAAAGAAACATGCACAGACATATGCACAGATACAAAAATACAGAAAAGTATTTGTCCTAAGGAAAAAAAACTTTACAAATGCTCTAAGGAATGATAAGAGCTAATAAAGCCAGATGTGGTGGCTCTCACCTGTAACTAAAGCTGAGGCAGGAGGATCTCTGAGAGTTCAAGCCTAAACTGCATAGCTAGCTAGGGCCCTGTCTCAAGAAGGAAGGGAGAGAGGGAGGGAGGGAGGGAGGGAGGGAGGGAGGGAGGGAGGGAGGGAGGGAGGGAGGGAGGGAGGGAGGGAGGGGAAAAATAATAGGAGTCATTACTCAACTCAGAATCTTAAGTAGACATTTTTTAATAAAATGACAATTAAGTTCTACAAACAAAGATGGAAATTGTTTTGTTTGCCTAAAATTGTTGTGTTTTATACATAAAAACCTTGATTATATATAATTTTTACTTTAACTTTTTTTTTGAGAAAAAGCCTCTCTGCATAGCCCTTGCTGTTCTAAAACTCTCTTTGTAGACCAGGCTGGCCTCAAACTCGCAAAGATCCACCTGTCTCTACCTCCAAGTGCTGGGAGTAAAATTGTGTGCCACCCACCTGGTTTGCTTTACCTTTTAAAGAGTTAGTGTAATGTTCATAAAAAATGGTTTTGGTTATTACTAAACATATGTTTATATTCAGGGCAAAACAATCATTGTTTGATGTGGAAACATTCTCCTCTAGGCCTTCATTAGACTTTGCAAAGGGGCCTTTTTGACGGCTGTGTTGCTACAGAGACCCAGAACCTCCTAACACCATCTCTAGTACCCAAAAGCACCTTGTCACACATAGAAGCCAGACTCTGGGAAGCTGTCTTTCCCTACCTTGACCATTTCTTGGATTTGGCTTATAGAACAGGCTGCTCCTTTAGCAGAGCAGTGTGTTTTAATACGGACTTGTGGGGAAAAGTTTTTCTGCCCTGTGAGTTCAGTTATTAAGATGCAGTTCTTAGCCCCTTCTCCATGGCATGAAAGCAGAAGGTTCAGAAGGAGCAGGAAGGTCTGGCTGCAGGACAGAGGCACAACTCAAATACTCAATGCATCCCCCATCTCCAGGGCCTCGAGCTGTGCATTCTTTTCAAAAGCCATGGTGTGTGGTAGAAAGATACATACACACTCGTAAGTATTCATTAACTAACACCCACTTTTCCCTCACCCTCCTCAAGGAAGCCAAAGTATGATGGAACACTTGGTGCCCAACCCAAGGCCTGGGATTACAGTGAGCTTCTCCCTGGAATACAGCATACCCTAGAGGAAAGGGAATGTGCTCTACATGCAGAGATAGTCCAACCTTCCATATTCCACAAAACAATCCCCATCTGTGCTGGAAACTTAACTTTCAAGTATTCCTCCCTATGTCTAACCCCGAAGCACACAGATGACTGTCCACAGCTCAGCTCACACGTTAAGACAAAGCCAGCACAAAGCAACTGCATAGGCAGTGTGCTGGGATATGCTGAGTGTATGGTTCAGATAGAAAATGGCTTTCACAAGGTTGCATTTCAAGACTGGAAAATTCAGATTCATCTTGGAACACCTGATCCATGGCTCCTAACTGAGGTTGCCCATTGGTGCCCGTGAGGGATTGGCACCAGGACCTTCCTTGTATGCTGATATCTGGGAATGTTCAAGGCTTGCACATAAACTGCATATGACCTCCCCATAGCCTCCTTTAATCATTTCCTGATTATCTCTAACGATTAAGATAATACAGGGAAGCAGGAGATGAAGCAGTTTCAAAGGAGGAGATGCAATGTAAAGACTCATAATATTGTTATACTGTGTTTGTTATAGGATGACAATAGAGTGTGCACATATTCGATACAAGAGCAGTGTGTGTGTGTGTGTGTGTTCGTGAGTGTCCATGGTTAAATTCACAGATGGGAACCTCAAGATCATGGAGGACCAACTCTGAACTGTTCTTGCTTGCCTTCTTTGAGCTTGTTGGAAAGGGACACCACTGGTTGTCCTTGCTAGTAAAGCAACCAATGACAACAGTTTTGTGGGTTCTGCCTCCCAGACACTTGTACATCCCAACAGAGATTTTCTGAGGCAGCCTTTCCAGTGGCAGGGAGTACAGGCTCTGTGTCACATGAACAGGAGAAATCTCTGGAAGCAAGGATGACTTTTCATAATCCAAGCCACACCTACAGAGCTGCCTACACATGTATGGGTGAGCCCTCAGTTCCCCCAGAAGCCCAGTTTGCTAAAGTTCAAGTCTTTCTCATTGGTCCCTCTGAGCCAGTTCCTCTAAACCAGCGGTTCTCAACTTGTGGGTCTCAACTCTCACAGCGGTCATATATCTGATATTTACATTACAATTCATAACAGGAGCCAAATTACAGGTATGAAGTAGCAATGAAATAATTTTATGGTTGGGGGAAGTGTGTTAAAGGGTTGCTACGTTAGGAAGGTTAAGAATAACTAGTCTAAGGGAGGACTGATGAGCAAAGGGGTTAAGACTGGGCTGGTTTAACCCCCAGAAACAGCTGACCTGATAAGGGTTAGCTCTTGAATCCCAGGCTGATGCCTAGGGATCCAGCATGGGACTGATCAAGACCCCCTAAATAGGGGTGTCAGTGAGGAGGCCTAGGCAATCTATTGAGCCTTGGGTAGTAGATCAGTATTTATCCCGGGTATACAAATGGACTTTGGGTGCCCATCCAACAATGAGAGATGCATTCTCACCCTGGGGGTCTAGGGCCTGCCCTGGATGAAATGACAGACTAT